AGATGTATTGTAACCAATGCATTAAAAAGAAAGAATCTGCTACTGCTTTAGAAATGTTAAACTCACTTAATATTTGCCAGCAGGTCCTGGTGCTGGCTCAGTATGTGCTGCAGGAACGCCTTCTCAAACTTGGTGATCTTGCTTGGCTCCATTTTGTCCAAGTGTCCCCTCACACCAGCATAAATGACTGCTACCTGTTCTTCAATAGCCATTGGAGCTGAAAGATGGAAGTTCATGGGCACAGTAAGTAAGACAACTGCAGAATGGACAAATTCTATTTTTTTTTTTTTTTAAATGGATGCATCATTTTCTATACAAACAGCAAATACTCACAGTACTGTCCCTGCTTAAGCAGCTCAGTCAGACGGACGCCACGGTTCAGCAGCTGCTGAGTGGCAGCATCCAGATCAGAACCAAACTGAGCAAAGGCAGCCACCTCACGGTACTGGGCAAGCTCCAGCTTCATGGTACCAGCCACCTGATGATGGACAGGAAAAATGAAGTTAATGTGAAAGACTCCCAGCACAAAAATCAGTTGAGAGACTAGAACTAGGCAAGACTGAAAGACCAACCTGTTTCATGGCCCTGGTCTGGGCAGCAGATCCGACACGTGACACAGAAAGACCGACATTGATAGCTGGACGAATACCCTTGTAAAACAGCTCAGTCTCCAAGAAGATCTGCGGGATAAAACATATTTAATGGTGGCTGAGGATCCAAATTAAAATGAGGGAAGGCAACTCACTGACCTGTCCATCTGTGATGGAGATGACATTAGTTGGAATGTAGGCTGACACATCACCAGCCTGTGTCTCAATAACAGGAAGGGCTGTGAGGGAGCCACCGCCGAAGTTGTCGTTCATCTTAGCAGCTCTCTCCAGCAGACGGGAATGCAGGTAGAAAACGTCTCCTGGGTAAGCCTCACGCCCGGGGGGACGACGGAGCAGCAGGGACATCTGACGGTAAGCGACAGCCTGCAGGAAAGCAAGAACCAGACACAGACTTTAAACAGTTTTTTACGCTTGTGTTAAAAAACGCTCTGTAGCATGAGACCAAATAAACTCACCTGCTTGGAGAGATCGTCATAGATGATCAGGGCGTGCTTTCCATTGTCTCTGAAGTACTCTCCCATGGAGCAGCCAGAGTAGGGAGCCAAGTACTGCAGTGGAGCAGCATCAGAAGCTGTAGCTGACACCACTATGGTGTACTTCATGGCATCGGCATCAGTGAGCCTCTTCACCAGCTGAGCCACTGTGGACCTCTTCTGGCCAATAGCAACATAAATGCAATAGAGCTTCTTCTTCTCATCAGTCCCATCGTTGAAGCGCTTCTGGTTGATGATTGTGTCAATGGCAATGGCAGTTTTTCTGCAAGACAAATGAGGATACACAAACCACCAGTTCACATTTTTGTGCTTAGAATAGTTTTAGAAGATCTAACAGTCTAAAAAAAGTGTATTATATTATAAAGAGTGTATTTCTAATCCATTATTCATAAACACAATAGAAATCCTAGCTTCCAGCATACAAAAATGACACCTTGTTCACAGTGATGTAAGCTCATGTAGATATATGGAATTATTTTGCACATTTGGTTTCCCATCTGACAAAAAACAATCAGATGCTTCATGAGACATATCTGCAACGAAACATGAAACAAAGCTGGCAGAACTTAGCCTAATATGAACTAATGAGTTTAAAATGTCATTTATGAAGTAACAAAAAAAACTTGTCTGTGAAAAAAATAATGGTCAAGTGCTAAAAAACACAACAACAACTTATTATAATAATAGGGTATCTGTGACCCCTTCTTTGGAAGCGTCACTTCCACTACTGTAGAAGCACTTAAAAGGCACTGGAAATCACATCAAATACTCTGTCGTATTCAGCTATTCACTTTGAGCCTCTTACCCAGTCTGTCTGTCTCCAATGATGAGCTCACGCTGTCCACGACCTATGGGGACCAAACTGTCCACAGCTTTGATGCCGGTCTGCATGGGCTCCCTCACAGAGATACGGGGGATGATACCAGGAGCTTTCAGTCCCACACGCCTGCGAACCTTGGAGCCCAGAGGGCCCTGTGGAGAAAATGATGTATAAAACCATCAAGTGTACCATCAATCAGCTCCACAAAGCCAAAGGCCAAGCAAAATTGTCCATCCATTCGCTTCCGCTTATCCTTTTCAGGGTCGCGGGGGGCGCTGGAGCCTATCCCAGCTGTCATAGGGCGAAAGGCGGGGTACACCCTGGACGGGTCGCCAGTCTGACGCAATTAATTTAGAATCTGGAAAACAAGACTCTCTCGGTTTTCTGACAGGTACCTTTCCATCGATGGCATTTCCAAGAGCGTCCACAACGCGACCCAGGAGCTCCTCGCCTACAGGCACATCAACGATAGCGCCTGTTCTTTTGACGATGTCGCCCTCTTTGATCAGCTTGTCATTACCAAACACTACGACACCAACGTTGTCAGGCTCCAAGTTCAGAGACATACCCTGGGTAGGAGAACAAATAACCATTATTACCTTTGTTTGCATGAATTTACCATGCAAAGTACTTGAACAACCACTGTGTTTAATAATCCATTTTAAAGGACACAGTATGTGGGTAAAGACTAATCAAAACCACATCTTTAACTCAATTTTCTGCCAACAGATCCACTTATTATCAGAGGTTATCATTTCAAGGAACAACACATTAACCTGGGATTTAAACTTGAGGCAGTATGCTTACCCAGTGGCTTACAGATATTCTTTGCTGCTAAAGTAAAAATCTATCATTCTCCAAACACCTTTGACTTAAAATGATCTAGAAACTGTTTAAATATTTTTATTCACTCGTGGTATTTAAACAAGGTCATTATGTAAGACTTAGATAGTCACCTTAAGACCAGAGGAGAACTCCACCATCTCCTCAGCCTGCACGTTCCTAAGACCGTACACTCTGGCAATACCATCACCAATAGACAGTACGCGACCAGTCTCCTCCAAATCAGCACTGGTATCAGCTCCCATGATTTTCTCCTCCAGAATTGATGAGACCTCAGCAGTGCCTGTAATGTATAATAAGTGTTTACATTTCAGGGTTAATAAAGTTCTATGAAACTAATTAAGACATATATTGTGAGATCTTTACATAGTGGTTCTTCCTCAAACATTGCTGGGGAGAAATGTTCCAAAATAATTCATTTCTTAGATTCTAGGCTGAAGCAGACTTCCCAAAACACTGACCTGTTTTTTTCTGCAGCCATGGGCTAGAGGTGTGTAGATTCTTGGCTCCTACACAAGCCGCAGCAACATTCTTTGATACCTTTATCACATCAAGAAAGAGCGAAAGAATTAGTTTTATCCAGGCTGGAAATACAGCAGTTTTCAATCATTAATTATTTAAAAACAGTCTAACCAAATATAAACTGGCAGCTTATTAGGCAAACTAAAATTAAAGAGGTCATGATGTCAATCATGGAATAAATCGTTCCAAATGAACATTATAAAAAATAATAATGAAACCCCCGTCTTTCATTATTAATTACATTGTATGATAATTTTTTTTTGAGATTTGTTGTGCTGTTAATTTTGAAATGTCTAATGTTTTGTCTATAAAAAAGTAGATGATAAACTTAATAAAATCCCCAGCTGCTAGGGAACCTTTCTACCAACCGTCAACTCAACACCAATTATTGTGAAAATACAGAAAACACAGCAAAAAAAATAAGTGACCAAAGTAAAGATTACAGACTGGACTTGTTTTAGGTGTCACTGCCACTGGATTTAAATCACCTATAGCCCCCTGAGTCACAGAGGTGACAAGCAGAAATAAAATTTAAAAAGCTACATACAGAATACACATGAACTACTGCACCATGCATTACAGTGTCATTTAATCACAGCAGCTATATTAAAATTTTATAAAAGGTTGGGCTGGTTCTAAGTATGACAAACTGTATATAAAAGGTTTCCGGTCATAGAGTCATAGGACAATCTCAACCGATGACTGGTACAGATCGAGTCTATAATATCCATCCAGAACAGTGAAATGTCTACCATAATGTTGCTTTATGTACTGAAAGAACTGTACAAAGCTTGCTTGATAAATACATTATGACTAAAGCTGTCATACCGAAGGGGCCAAACCTGACCTTCAACACCAAGTTACAGCTTTGTCATTTCCACTGACACTCGCCTAGCAGTGCAACACGTGGACCAGCGTTTGCTTTTTTTCATTTATCGACTCCTCAAGTTGGGTTTTGCTGTCTGTCAACTACAAACATGTTAGCAACAGTGACTGGCACTGTGAAGGGCCCAGTGCCCTCCGATGCAAAGACGTGCGCGCGCACAACAGCCGCCATGGTTTTGTGCGAATAAATTCTTGTTTTTCCTTAAAGAAGTGAACAAAAACGTCACATATAGAAGTAGAGGTGCTTACCAATCCAGCCCTGCGGGGCAGGTTGCGGGCGAGAGCCGCTGCGACGCGAACTGACAGCATGTTGGTGTCCTACGAGGTCTGTCCTGCTCCTGGAGAGGAGAGAGAAGGATGGCGGACACGGCAGCAAATTGTAGAGAGGTCACCGCAACCCGGAAGTACTTCAAAATAAAACACTCTCCAGACTTTTTGTAGTTTTTATTTTTTTACTTTATTTTGTTGTATTTCTTCGGGTTCCCTTTAAAAAGTGTGTCGGTAGCTGCATAGATCACAGTAAAATAAAATCATTTGGATACTGACTGTACTTCAGTTTAATTTTTATGTTTTTTAAAAGATGGCTCCTGTGGCTCCTCCACAGATCATTAACCTAAGGAATAATGCGGATATATGGAAAGAGAGAGAAAGAGAGCGAGGGGTGGGGGTGACAGATATGGTGCTCGGAATAGTGTAAGATGGAGGCAGATGATCCGCTGTGGCGACCCCCTTTGGGGAAAGAAGCCGATAGAAGAAGAAGTGCTGATTTCCGAACAATAGGGGGCGCTCGTCTAAGTAGCGCATACCGGAAGTGGCGCACGTAGCTTTGTGAGCGATGGAGACATTTTAAAAAAAAACATACAGCTAACTGCTAAACAGGGCTCGCGGAGCTGCGAGTCTTCTGCGTCAAAACACATTCAAATTCTTCCAACTTGTAAATAAGTCAAGTGCATTCAGCGGTGCACAGTTTACATATCACATATCAGAGAGGTTGCACGTTACTGAAGATGTCGAGTGTGACACTTGGAAAAGAAGAATATAAGTAACTCTGCGGTAAGTTGTAACTAGCCGAGTGCTATTTTAAAGGCTAAGTTGGTTATCGCTTTTGACTGATAGCTGCTGACATTATCCTGCTTGTTACAGCTCTGGCTGGATTCGTAGCGCTTCCATTTTTAGGCTAATGATAGGCCGCTATCTTGCAACGTGAATATTTTTTCCACGTCTGCCTGTCGCCAAGTTTGGGAATCTTAAGGTTATGACCGAGGTTAGCTTCACTGTGCAGCTAAAAGGGTGTGCTAGTTCCAGCTAGCCCTTGACACAACTAACTGAAGTAATTTATCCGGGAACAAATAAACATCCTGTAGTTTACACGGGTACTTTAATGGGTTTAAACCTTTGTTTAAAAGGGTCGTTTTCGCTGTCTGTGAAATCTAAAACTAAAGCAGATGCTTAGCACCTTCTAGCAATACCGTTAAAAACATATTCTGGCCAAATATTGTCCGACATTTAACGTGTCTGTGTGCTTGTATACTTAAAGCAGTAATTGGATTAGAAAGGAAGCAGTAGTAAACTATAATATTCCACTTTTATTTATTTTAGTATAGGGTATAGCTTTGATTTAAGAACTTTACGGTTATAGTAATAATTGTTAATTATTCAGTCTCCTAAATATTTCCAAATAAATATTGTAGTAAATAATTTATGTGTCATGCAAGATATTTTTTTTAATTTGTGGTGTTTTTTTCATATAATTCTTTTGTAAAAGTAATTGTTTTGTTTAAAAGAATTAAGGTTTAAAAACAATTGTTATTGTCTTTCAAGTTTGTTTAGATTGTTTAACTAAAGTTTGTGATGCTTCGTTTCCTCCAGCAGGTGAGGTCCTGTCCAGGGACATTGGTCCATGCTTGATGGACCTTTGGCCGCTGGGCTCAACTAGCATGAAGATGGCTGACTCAGAAAAGGCAGAAGAATTTGTAGATGCTGAGTGCCCCTCAGAGTGCCTTGATGAAGCTCAATCAGCCACAGCTTCTGTTCAAGCAGAGCAGGATGAGCATCTGAAAACAGAAACCACTACCAGTACCAGTTCGCCCCCAAGGGAAAAGGAGGCGGACAGCCCCTTGAATACAGAGGGTGAGCAGAGTCTCCTGTCCATGCCATGCTTGATGAAGGAGCTTCGCAGAGACTCACCAGAGTCTCAGCATGCCTCAACAGGAAGTGACAAACCCGTGTCTCGTCATATCTACGAGAGTGACTCCTCGAACCCCTGCATGCTCTCGCCTTCATCCAGTGGCCACCTGGCTGACTCTGATACACTCTCCTCAGGGGAAGAAGGTGCTGCTCCTCCCATAGGAGAAGAGGAAGAGGGCAGCATGGAAGCTACAGGTGATCCTGGGCAGGCAGGAGGAATGCAAGCATCTGCCACAGTTGCAGGGGGAAGGAAGTCTCGACGGTCACGTTCAGAGAGTGAGGTGCCTCCAAATACAATGGCTGCAAAGAAGAACCGCTGCCAGCCCACCATGATAGCAGCCGCAGGAGGCCAGGAAAAACAAACCAATGGCAAGTTTTCAAAAGTGAAAGGTCACCGCAGTCAGAAACACAAGGAGCGAATGCGCCTGCTGAGGCAAAAACGAGAGGCAGCAGCACGGAAGAAGTACAACCTGCTGCAGGACAGCAGTACAAGTGACAGCGAGCTCACTTGTGACTCCAGCACCAGCTCCTCCGAGGATGAGGATGATGACACCTCAGGGGGTAGCAAGACAATCAAGACAGATATTCCAGGTAATAACCGATGTTTACAACGCATGCTTAAGAGCTCAGTACTACTACCATCACTGTCCACTAGCAGCCACTTAGTATTTCATATAAATCTCTGACTCACATTGCAGACTAGTACTGGTTTACAACATAAGAAAGTATTGACTACTGATCAGTTAGACATAAGAGTCTGCTTGCATGAGTTTAAAAAAATTGTCAACCAAATCATTAAACTGATACAACAACTGTACAAATCCTTCCTAACATCAAATCAATAACAGGGCTGCTTTGTTTGTTTTGTCATTTTTTTCCTTAGTTATTTTCCCATCCATGTCTATATTCATTCAAGTTGTCTTTAGATGTATACAGTATATGTTTAGAGGACCAGCACCTAGTCATAATACAGCATTACTCCTTTCAGACATGTACCGTTTTTAGTCAGACAGACATCATCTTAGAATGCATTGGCTGGACAATCATTCTGTTCAGTTTTATCTAGAAGTCTCAACAGAGCGTCACTCTTACAGGCTGAAGCTGCTGTAGGTTCAACCTGCATTTGCATATCACTGTCAGTATGACACAAGTCTAAAATATATGCAGTTGCATTAATGAAATTGCAACTTTGCACATCTCTCTTAGCATTTGTCTTGGTAAGACATCCATGATGAAGAATTTTCACTTTTTCCAACCCAGAATAAAGCTCATTTGCTCTCTCACAGTCTATATGCTGTATTTGGGAGCTGCTACAGCAAACACTCACACATACAGAACCTGGTCCTTGTGATGATGAAGGAGGAAACAAAGTCTTCAAAAAAGAAGATTACACTTCTTCAGAGTTGAAAGTATCCTTGTCACTTTGTTTGGCACTTTATAAACCAACAGTGTATATAAAATTATATTTAAAGCTTAAAGTAAATTAAAGATCATTAAAAAATGGTCTCAATATAGATTCATCACCTGATTGTTCTTCTTTGGTTCTTTGGTGGTAGGTCAAAACCTCTTTGGAAGCTTTTTTTCTTTTCTTTTTTTTTTTTTTTTGATTGGCTGGAGAAATCCTGCAAATAAGACACACATACCATGGCTCTCCCCATCACTGTTATATCAATGAAGCTTTAAACAACTAAGCAACATTAATAATATAATTAACAATATAAAGCCCCTTTTCAATTAGTACCTACTTGGATCAACTCGGCACGTTTCGCCACAGTTTTCAGAGTTTTCTGTTAGGTCATAGTACCTGCCTGGTACCTGGTACTTTTTCGTACTTGCTCAGCCGGGGTTCCAGTGATCCGAGCAGGTACTAAAATGTGATGCCGTCAGACTGCATGCCACTGATTAGCTGGTCAGTAGCATCACAATGGCTACAAAAAACCGTGGTCCCTGAGTCTGGCGAAAAGCCACAGACCGAGTAGCAGGTATATTTTTGCCTCGGCGTCCACCTTTGTTGTAGCGTTCATGTCACATATTAATCGCGTCGTTCACACACACATTAGGAGGTACTAAATTGTAATGGAAAACCAGTCGATCCGAGTCGAGTCCTGGCGAGTCGATCTGAGTAGGTATTGATGGAAAAGGGTCTTATGAGTGACAACCAGGACTGGAACAGAATGGTAAAGCAAGCAATCTGACATATCCCATGTCTGAAAGAGACTTAAACATTGTCATGAAACTCTTTCTTACTGATGATTTGCTATGGGAGTCTAATCAACATTGTCCAGCTCAGAGTGGTAAAAAAGAGTTGAGTTAATGTAACCATTACTGTGAGTTCTGCAGTTCAACAAGTCAGCCATTAATATACACAGCCTTTGCTCTAAATAGACATACTATGATCTCACTGAGTTGCAAGGCTCTACAGTCACTGCTGGTGTCAGTAAGCTGTAGAAATACTGGCTTATACATGAGTAAGGACATAAAATCCAATATCTAAAGTTGTGTTTCACTAGATTGCCTAACCTCATAAATAATTAGTCTGTTTTGTTAGAGGGAGTTTAGCAAGTATTTCATTCACATGAAAACTGCTGGGCATTTAGTATTGCATTTCCTGCATTTCTGTCCTTACTAAATATTCCTTAATGTTTCAGTATTCTTTTTGTCCTGACCCATCACACACTTCACTCCTCCTACAGTGAATCATGTCAGAAATCTAGTTGGGTGCTTTCCTATACTTTAAATGATTTTGCAACACCTTAGATGAGCCCGTGAGTTCTTGTCATCCTGTTGAAAGTGTAAATGCATACAAATATATACAAATCTAATTGAGAATGGCTTTTTGCGAATCTGTGGGCCAGAGGTGTCTACCTGGAATAAACACTCATTGGCAAACGCTGATTGTAACGCTTGCATGCACGTTAGACCCCGTGAGTTTGCTTACATGTTGTAGAAATCTTTTGGGTGAGTTGAATTCTCCAGAAGTAGCTCCTATCAGGCTGGTGTTTAAAGGTCTCCCAACGGAAGAGAAGCACTCGGTTTACTGTTGGATAATCTTTTGATCATGATTGTGTTCTTTAGCGTATAGCTTGATGTATTTTATTAGCATTTTTACATTAAAATTTTAGTTTCTTGTGTTTCATAGATGATCCGTAATAAATTGTTTTTGTATTAGTAAAGGTACTTTGGTTTATATAAAGTCTATCTCTTAGTTATGTCTGTTGCTTTTGCGGCTCAGATTTGAAGTTATTTTGCTTTGGGTTGTTGCATTTACTTTAAAATCTTAAACCTTTTCCAAATCACTCGATCAGTCACCCTCAGACCACCAATTATCTTCCTTCAGGGATCTGTAGGACATGAAATGTTTTCAGCCATTTTTTACATCCCGCACACAGATTTGAGTGCTACAACTGCATGATGTAGTCCATCAGCATGAAAAGAGTCGATCTGCACGTTACCTGAAACAAACTGTCATTTTCTCTGTAATGCAAAAGTCCACCTCCGAAGCATGAAAGTGCTACTGTATTTTCTTATGGCTTGGCCTCAATGTCTTTAAAGCTGGCTTCAGACGTGCTTCGGAGAGATCCAGAGTGGGATCCCAGATTCATGGGTTACTGGACAGCGGCTCGTGGGACAGGAACGGCATCGGCAGCGTTCTGGAGGAGGCCATGACGCGCTTTGCTGTGATGCAGCGTCAGACTGAGGAGCGCTTCCGCGTCTGGATGGAAAAGCTTGCACACCTCGACTCGGACAACGATTCTTCCAAGCGCTCGAGTGACGGCCCAGAAGGGCAGCAGCAGGCCTCACAGGGGGCACGGCCTTCCCCCCCAAGCTCATTTTTGCCATCTTCAGAGTCTGCAGAGACTATGGCTGCCTACATGTTGGCACGAGAGAACAACAGTCTCACCCACACCCCTATAAACAACAACAACAACATCCACCCTGAAGTTGTCACTCAGAATGGAAATCTAGGTGTTCCAGACCCTGGTCTCTTGAATGTTTAGATTTCACTTCTGCTTCACCCCTCGCAGTTTCTTACTTTGATCTCGACAAGTGTAGAGATAGTTAAGGCAGAAAGCAATGGGGTATACCCGTTCAAGGATGTGAGGGCACTAAACAGAAACACCACCAGCAGCAGCAGCTGGGCCTGAACTGGTCATTTGAACTTGACTCTGTGCAGACCAGGGGCCCGTGCTATGAAGCAGGTTTAACATGTCTTCTTTATATGGCTTTGTTAAGCCTAGCAAACACAGTCACATGGAGTCTGGTAATCGGTTGGGGTTTTTTTTTGTTTGTTTGTTTGTTTGTTTGTTTTAATTAAACCCAGCTATGAGCATTTTCGCATAACATGCGTAATGGTGGCACCAGATGACCAACTGCAAAGACTATGGGACTATAGCCACTTAAAGTCAGAACAAACAGTAATCCTGATATGAAGAAAATTAAAAATGTAATCCAGGCAAAAAGCCAGGAGGAAAAATTGGCATAAAATTGCATTTTGTGTGAATGTGCAATTTACTAAAAGGCCCATTAGTGATGATGCTCCATCACTGACAAACAAGAAAATATAACTTGAATTACAATGATGTATTTCTTCAAATTCATGTGTTACCTGTGGTTGTTTATTTAGATAATTTTAGCTCTGTTGTTTCAGCTACAACCCAGGTAATGTTAAATCGAATGACATCGGGTAAAATATTTTTTTAAATTCTTGCAAATTTTATAAGGTCTAAGCACTGGAATTTAATCAGTTAAAGAGTCTTGACATATGGAAAGAAGAAATGGGCTCAAATGCTCACAGGCATAAGTGAAATAAAACCCACTCAGTACATGTGCTGTACAGCCCAAAGGATCTTCACAAAAGACAACCAATTGGTCAGTAGTTGGTGCTTTATATACGTTCATCTGTTATGTTGAACATGACCTACTCAGGAGGTCGTGTATTTTGGTGTGGTCTAATGTGGCAGTGTACCCGCAGAAGGAACTGAATTTGGAAGCTGGGGAACCCTGAAAACCTGAAACTAGCTTGGAATCCTGCTTAGTAGCACGGGCCCCTGAGGCTCAGCATGTGTGCTGGCACTGAATCACTGTGAGATTTGACACTGAGAAAAATTCAACTCACCTATTTGATTTCTGCAGCATCTGTGACACGGAAACATGGCTTCTCAATAGACTGAGTCAGGGCTCTTATTGTATTGCTTTGCTTTCTTTCTTTCGTTTTTTTCAGCACCAGCTGAATACCCTCTTTGACACATACAGAGTAATTGTTTTATTTCTTTCATTCAGCATATGAACTATAATGATGGGTAGCCATCATTGCGGTGTTAAGTGGGGTGCTGCTGTGTAATAGCATGTGCCTTGTCATTCTGAACTCATGCTGGGAATGATGGGTAAAGCATTATAGTGCTGTTTCCTTAAGAATCAGGTTTACCACTGCATACCCCCCGTTTGTCTTGAACTGTTTGCACTTTGCTTGTAAACAGTTCAGGAAAATCTTGTGACAACCTTTATTTTGGTGGCATAGCTTTACTAACAGAACATTTAAACATAGATATGCCTATAAATATAAACACAATATACTAACCCACACAATTTCTTGCTTTTTTAAAAATCTATATTAAGGATTAGACGTGTTTACATTTTTAAATAAAGGCCTTTCTGTTACATTTGCTGCTGGCGCTGCATTTGCGCAGTAACATGAAACGAGTGATTGAGGAATCTGGAAAAGAAAACTTGTGGTTATTTTAGTAGCTTAGGTGTAGATTTTATAACATCATATAAGGCATGGGTTCTTTTGTTGTGGCTATTGGCTGCATTGGCCTCAAATCTTCAGTCATATTATAGTGATGGGTATTTGTCTACTTCAATTTTGTTTGCACTGGTCTGCCAGTTTGTCCAGTGTCCCCACCAGGCACTGCGTATTCGCATCTTGACTTTAAACTGAAAACCCAGGCATCAAACGTGCAGATATAGAGCAGTAATACAGCTGCAGTATGGTGCATGGCAATGTTTACGGATTTTTTTCTAATTAAAAAAAGAAAAGTGAGATCTATGTGATCAAGTGGCCTTCTGGTTCACATCCTGTGGTCTTTGAAAGGGGGGAGGAAACAATCCTCCTTGAACCCCCCTCCCCCCCACACTGTTTTCACTGATGTAGATGACCATTTGGGTCTTATTTCTAAACACTGCTAACAACCATCACAGAGACTGATGAAGGAATCTTTGGCCTGATCATATTTAAAGTTAAGATGTTCAAAAGTGTTCTCTATATGTGTATATGTAGCCCTATGACTGTCATTTTTACAGAGCCTAAAGCTAAGCGACGTGTTTCCCCCACCTGTTTGCATGCGAGTATATTAGTATATAGAATGTGCAAGGCCAAATTAGTTTACATCAGCAGCACGTGTGCAAGCTATAGCTTTTCCTTATGCTGATAAACGGTGACTGACGGGACATTTTATCTCTGTTTTTTTTCCTTTTGATTGTTTTCCCTTGACCTAACGGTTTCATGTTGTGTGAAGATTGCTTGTTTTGTAAAGCGTTCCTTTGCCATTACGGATTTAAATAGATCCAGCGTCAGCTCTCCTGTACTCCTTAAAACTAGAATGACTTTTAAATCAACAGTTTTGTCAGCACAGTAACGAGAGCCTGTGCATGAAATCAAAATGTGCATTAAAAACAACAGCAAGGACAGTCCATTGTTTACCAAAGACACTAACCTGGTCTACATTAGTGCTTTTCTATCTCTAATACATGGCCTTTATATTGGCAAGTGCTTGGTTTCTTTGGTAACCCTAGTATCTACCTATATCAGCTATTCATAGGCAGTGTTCTCTCACAGTACATGCTGTCCAGACAAAACCCCTCTCACACACCCACAGATGTCTGGATAGCAGAGTGTGTGTCTGTCTGTGTCTGTGTGTCTCTCTCCCTCTTTCCCAGGGACTCCTTTTTACAGGGTAGAACAATTATGTGCTCCCGCTCTTCTAGTTACACTCCTGTTGTTTGGCTTTGTTTTGTTTAGTTTTTTTGACTATCCCCACTACATTTCATTCACTGAGTAAGATTATTTTGAAATGTGTTTTGTAACGACTGTACTCGAGTGTAGTTTTTATGTGAATGGCTGTTATTTTAAAAAGCAATAAATGGAAAGAACAAAAGGTTTGTTGATGTGCTTCAAATACAACCATCATTTATAAGAGTATAATGCAGTGTTTTATTTTAGAGTTAATGTAGACCTTTACTTCAGAGGAAACGGGGGACCAATGGGGGTTTTCTTGTGTCTATTGTAGATGCTAAGACTTAGCGGGTCTGTGGAAGCAGTGTCCAGTCTCTCATTCAAACAGAAGTCGCACTATTCCCAGGCATGATTTGAATAATGAAGTGTTTTCTTTGTTCTCTGCAGACGGGCCTCCAGTAGTGGGTCACTATGATATTTCAGACACTGATTCTAACCACGAGAGTATGAATGTGGAGGCAGTCCGGCCCACGGTGATAAAGCATGAGCTAAAAACACACAGAGGCCAGGATATGGCAGCTCACTCTGGGTGTATAAGAGCTCTGAGCTCTACCTCAGGTCAGTTACAAACCCGGTATAATAAATTCCAATCCTCTCAGTGAAGGCAGGACATTTTAAAGGCATGGGTTGTCATCAGTAAGCTGAAATGTGCCGTGTGGCAGGAGGCGGTCTTATTAATCTCAGCAAGACACTTTTGAAGCACTCTTTATCCCACACACTGCCAGCTGGCATTTGATGTTACTAAAAGTCTTGACCTTTTTTGCAGCCGACAGAACATGAATATAAAGGCAGCCATCTAATGTGTCACTCCATGCTGTCCAGTCAGTTTTACAAACACCACTGTCAGCTTCATCTCTGTTTTGTGTTGGGGTTTGTGTTTTTTGTGTGTCTGTGTCAAAGCAGCTGCTGTCTTCACGTGTCAGCGAGGTCTGAAGCGCTCTACTGCTTCGGCCCTCCTCACAAAGCATGACTGTGTTCCTCTACATTTGTTTCAGGCCACATGGAGGCAGAGCTGTCGCACAAGGAGAGCTCTCAGCACAAGGGCCAGATTAACATTGTTTCCTCTGACAGTGAGGTGGAAATAGTCGGAGTGCAAGAAAAAGCACGGTAAAGACTTTCAGTGGGGAAACTGTAAAATTCTACTGTTACTGCCCACCCCTCCACTGAATTCAACTTTTTACTTTTTTTTTTGTTTTTTACTTTTTTTTTTCTTTCCTTTTCAAATCTAGATGCGCCCATCCTTGCGGGGGGGTCATAAAGAGTTTGTCCTCCTGGAAAGAGAACTCAGGGGAGCAGTTAAACAGCACAAATCAATCACAGCTCTGGACTACTGTTTCCCCTCAGCCCAACTGGGTGTCCCCTCCTGAAGTGGTGGACCTCACGCTGGACGAGGACGGCGGACACAAATACCTACTTTAATAAAAAAAAAAAAAAACCCAACGTATACACTGAAGACTTTTTTTTTCCCAACACACCTCTTCCTCCCAACTGCTCCTCATCCATCTTGCCTGTCCTCCACGTTAAAGCTAAACTGAATCCTTTCTAGAGTTGTGGCCTCGCCTGTAACCGCTTGTGGACTCTTCCTGCTCCAAAGCACTCTTTTGTTTTTAACTTTACTGTTGAACAATCATGTATCAAAGCCATTCAACTGGTGTGATTCCCTGACCTTTGCTTGTCAGCTATGAATTTTAGCTGCATCTAAATGGCACAGCACCTCAAGTGAAGGTGGAAATGTACAAGAATAATTTATCTGATAATGATAGCAATATCTTCCCTTCATTTAATACCTCAGTTACCCTCAATACCAGATATAGGCAGTGTGTCATGTACTTGCAAGCCGTATAGTGAACATTTCAAGTTGCTGCTTTAGAGCAGGTCAGTATCATGAGATGGCTGTGAACCTGCTTCACTACAGACTTTGAATGAAATGTTTTCAGAATTGATTTGGCTTTTTTTTTTTTTTTTTTTTTTTTTTTTTAAATCTGCAGCCGCCTGAGGTCAGAACAGAATGGCAGCTTGTACAATTTCTGTTGTACAGTAGACCATAGATAAATGACAAAGTTTACTTTGTATCTGTCAAGGGTAATTTTCTATTTTTTTCCCCCCCCCATTTTCAAAGGTCTTGCCACTGGACTTGCATTTAGATCCGTCTGCCTTTATAGATTGTTTTACTATACGGTGTACAACCCATGCTCTGATGCTGTCAGTGAGTGCTTTGCTTCATTTGAAAAGAAGTATCGGATATTTAGGGAAACTTTCACTATTTTTAGAGAGTTAGATGAGAAGACTGGTAACAGAAATCTATTTTAAAAAATAAAGCAGTTTAGAGCTAGGTGGATGTGGTTCTTGAGGTAGAGTGGTAAATGGACTGTATTTATCGCTCTTTTCCCTTCACCCACATTCATACAAGCACTTTTTTTCTGTCCATGCCTAAGCACTCGCACATGCATGCATTAATGGGAACTCGGGGTTCAATATCTTGCCCAAGGATCCTTCGACATGAAGAAGAGCCAGGGATTGGATCACTGATCTTCCAATTAGTAGAAGACCTTTAATCTTCAGAGCCACACAGAGAGTGAGGCATCCCATAATTGGAGAGTCGGGTTTTTTGATTTCCTAGCTCCATCTAGCCACATGTCAAAAGGGTCAAAATTTTGAACTCCAGAATTTTCCCATTAATGTGTAATCTGCATCTGACTGTTTGTGTGATAGTGCTGGATGCATGTTTGTGTGATGGGTGTTTTAGGTGGGTGACAAAACATAAAAACTAAGACTGCAGTCCATTTATATTCGCTCGACAGAAATCAGGGAAACACTCTCTCCAAGAGCCACATACTAGTTCCTTTGCATTTACTAGTTAACACATGGTATATCAGTATGAGTAGTTAAAAAATAAAAGAAATAATTTTTTTACTGCGTACACATTGGTCTTTGACTGACGAGTCATTAACATTTATCCTCCTTTTATACTCCTTATGTAAACCATAAATTACAAAATGAGCTTCATGTTTCATTCTGTATGACCTGAAACTAGTGATGGAGCCCATGAAGTCATCAGGGAAGTGTTCAGTGAGATTACAGAGCAAGCAGGTTGACAGCTGTTTTCTGATAGGCTCGCGCACAACCAGAAGTCTTTTTGCAGCCAGAGGAGTCACCTGCTGCCGGCTGTTAAAAAGAATACAGGTTTAAGACACTTGGGAGTTGGTTTCTCCACCTTTAGTATGGTCAGAAATAAATAGGTCAAGTAGATGGACACGAGCATGCTTGCAGTTTCCTTGGTCTCTATTCTTTCTACTAAGCTAACTGGCCGCTAGCTTCACACAGTCGGGTTATCGATCTTCTCATCTAATGTTTACTCATCACCAGAATGCCAATAAACATTTCTGAATAAGTCACTTCACTTAAAATTTTAGTTTTTGTTTGTTGCCACTATAATGCAGGAACAATAAAACTTTTTATTTTTAGTTGGGGGTGTCTTGTTTTTTGGGCCCTCCACAAGAATTCAAGTTTGTCATGTGACACCTGGGGGAAATTAATTGCACACCTGTGATTTGAAGCCTGGGAAGAAAACAAGCAAAAAAAAAAAAAAAAGTCCAAGCTACAAAACACTACGACAGTGCTGTTTTTGTTTTCAAAGATGCATTGGAAGCCACACTTTTGTTACAGTGTCTGAGTGTCCAAGGGCGACTTTAATTATCAGTGAATGTATGTCCTTGCCATGCTGGCTGGTTGTACTTATTGTTTGCATGCTTACCTTGAATGGATGCAAACTCCTTTAAATCTCTGGGGACCCCTTTATAATAACTGAGGAACTGTATCTTCCAATGAATACTGCAAAGCAAGATGGCCTGAATGCCTTGAAATGTGCACTATTTCCTTTTAGAAAGGTTTAAAGCTTATTCTTTTACCTTACAAAGCAGCGGATTTTGCTATCGCAACAATAAATATTTTAATAATAGATGTTAATTTCACAAACACACATATATCTATACATATATATCTATAGAAAAAGAGTAAAAGTGATGTTGAGTTTATGCCCAATGTGTGAGTTATGGGGCATTTATAGATGAGATGATTACTGTATAAACTGTTTTCTGTTTTTCTTTTTCAACCCTGATCCTCAGGGCCTGCTTGCTCTCTTTCCTGCTGTCTTCTTTTGTCTTCATGCAGTACTGCAGCCACGCTGGCTAAAAAAAAATGTAATCAATAGCTTTACAGGCTATTTTAACACATTTCTTGTAATTGCATATTTAATAACATACACTTTCCTAAGTGACGCTTGATAATTATAGATTTATTTTAACTTCTGCTGGTCACAGAAAGATAAAATTTGAACGATCTAAACCAAAGTCTATATGGAGCTTATGTTCTCAGTTTATTTCCCAATTTATTCTTAGAAATTTACTATGTGAATCTGAATCTCTTCATTTGGAAGTCAGTGAATTTGCTGTGAAAAGATCGAATATAGTTACAAATTGAATATATTGTTGAATATATATTTGGTTTTACTTGGCCAGTTTTTTTCTGTTATATACATCTACCACTGTAAGAACTCTGTACCACAACACTTCAGCTTGCAAAAACCATTTTGCTGTTTTTCTGTGGGACTATTATGAAATGCTAGCGAGGCATCACTTGTGTCTTTAGTGATATAAGTGTGGTAGAAACCACGGCAGTGATGCTGGTTGCACATAGCATGTTTGGTGGCATCTTTCATCCTCATCTCCGATGTTATCGTCATTGCCGGTATTTCAGCCTCGCTCTTCTGTTTTTGCTCCGTTTTGCTGTCAGTATTTTAACTTAACAGAAGTGTTTATTTTGTTGCTTCTGCAAGTCCCTGACTTCCTTGAAATTATGTCTGTAGAACAAAAAGAAACTATTTTAAAACTAAATAAACGGACCGTTATTTAATGAGCTCTTGTCAAGTCATTTATTTCTGTGTTTTACAAGCATATATTTGCAGTTTTTGCTCGTGTGCTGTGACTGGTGTCAAGATTTTGACACCAGTCACGGATTTTTGCCTTTTCTGGCAGACCAAAGTGGTGTAATTAATCTGAGACGAGGATGGTGACACGTTTCAGCCTTTCAGGTATGTTTACAACTTTAGCATAAAGTGCGATTTGAATTTCACTTTTAACAGTTCACCCTAAAAATGTTAAATCATGTCATTACAAGACTGATCTGAATTCTTGCTTACTGTGAGTGTTGTTTGAGTGTTCTTATCTGTCGAGTCCTGTGCACAAGTCTCGAGCCAACCCTCATTCCTTTTACATTTTCATCATGAAATATAACTATAAGGTAAGAGGGAACAATATAAGTGAGTTACTGAAACGTGCACACATGAAACACAGTATATAAGACAAATAGTTCGTACAGTTCTAATAGCTTGAAATTAATATTTGGTATGGCCGCCTTTATATTTCGACGCACCCAGGAATCCTTCTCCAGGCTTCTTGAAGAACATTCAAAGCTCTCTTTGGATGTTGGCTGCCTTTTGTTCTGCTCTCAGTCAAGATGATCACACACTGCTTCAATAATTTTGAGGTCCAAGCTCTGGGGAGGCCAATCCATGACTCCATTGTGTTTTACAGATGACTGTTGACACTCACTGTTGTACCTCTACCCTGACGTCCTTGGTACATATTCATGATAATAAGACGTGTTGCCACTGGTTTTCAGTCCAGTTCTTGTGTAATTTGGCATACCTCAACATACCTTTCTGCCTGTTTCTCTTCCTTAAGAATAACTCCTTGATAGCGACCCCATTAAGACCATTTATGATTCAGTGAACATTAGATGGATGAAGTGAAGGCCCAGATGAATCTCTCCATCTTACTTCTAAAGGACATGACTTTCAGATGCTGCTCATCTGCTGTAGATTTTTTTTTTAGCCCTGATGCTTCTTCTTTTGTACTCCACTTGTCGAGCTTCCTCAATTTGTTTTAGGGAGACACTGCAGACCACACCAAGATGTGCCAAGTTTTAAGCTAATATCTTTTTGGAAATGGCCTTGTTAGTGCAGAAATCGAATTTTACGCACGTCAAGCTGACAGTTTTCCTATATGCAAATAAAGAAATGGGAACAATTTATGTGTTTACAACTTCAAGTTCTTTCTAGGTTGTCTGCCACAAAACTGGTTTAACAACAACACTAGTTCAACCTTCAAGTTAAGTATCCTTTATTGTGTTTGAATGATTGATAGGTCAGTGTTAAGTGACTTAACAAACAAACAAAATGGTTACGTACAAGGCCTGGATTGAAAATGAGTGAAAAAGCAGACAATGTCCAAGAACACTTTAACAGATCTTCAGAAGCCTGGAGAACTATTGCTCAAGATCACTTTTAAAAGAAATTACAAGCGTCTGGCTCCTTGGAAACAAAATATTTAAAGGGTGTCACAAGACTTAGTACTGTATAACTGCCACCATAGGTATAGCACTTAACAAGATGTCTCATTGTTTATTTTATTCTGTGGCCAAGCAGTCTAGACGGCTGCCTGACTGTGAACAATGCAGGTTCATCCTCACCCACCAAAGTAGCATGCCAGGTCAGAGGTCACCCTGTAACACCTGCCACTAGGGGGACATATGGAGTTCACATGAAGAAGACAATGAGGGAGTGGAGCAATGCAGTCTGCGGGGCCCTTTAACGAAAAACTAAAGCCCTTTAGCCAGCTCTTTCCACCCTCGGGGCAGAACATCAGCTGTATGCTAATTTTCACAGGGCAGCGGTGGCCTCACAGAGCAGTGAATGTGCTGGCTCACTCTCAAAGCCAGAAATGATTGCGCTTCATCTTGCAGATGTCCTTTTACACTAAATGATGCCACTTAGGATTTTTGTGTTGTACATGTTTTGTTCCAAGTTATCTCCAGTTTCTTCAAAATGGCATTTCATTTGTTCAGTCCTCGCTCGGCCCACCTCCAGAGGGCTTTCTAAAAATAAAGAGTGGAAATAAGTCTCATTTCCGGTGAGGACACAATTTTTACATCAGGTTCTGCTGAAAGAGAGCTCAGCTGCTGCTTCTGTTAATACGTCAACTACAGCCAGCTATCCTGATAAATGCTTGTGTTCAAATGTACATAAATGTGTGGAATAAAGTGGCAGTTTTGATGTGTGAAATTGATTGCAGCAGTGATAGTAAAGCATCGTGAAAGGCTCTTTGTGTTTCACAGCAGGCTTAAGGCATTAGATGACGGGAACTGGAGGACATATGGGACTAAGAGTTTTGTGACCCCCTCAGCCTCCACAGGCCCATCTGTTCCTTCATCCTTCAGGCTTAACACTACAGGCAGTGAGGTTTTTGGGACACAGGCCCCTTTTTTCACAAGTTCTGCTGTACGACAAATCTGGCCAACATATATTCACGAATATTCAAAGAGTTAAGTATTACTTGAACTGTATCGGATCATCAAGAAGATCATTCAGCAACATTTTCCTGATGATAGAGTCTGACAAAGGTCAAGGCAAATAATCTACGCAAGTATATATCTTTCCTTTTTTCAATTCTGTTTATAAGGGAGTTCAGTTGCATATGCATAACCATTGGCTGCCCTATAGGTAGGGTTAGGCCCAACCAATCACAGCACTTCAATCCAATCTAAAAAGCAAAAACAGTAAATACCTTTTGTTTCACTTTTGTGTAAGACAACCTGTGCTGTTTTTCTTGTCAGGCAGTGAATATTTGGCTGTCACAAATCACCCTTGTTGGCCCTTAATTGTTAAAGCAAGTTACATCCTTCCTCTCTGCCATCAGTACTTGTTTCAGCGTTGACAAAGACTGACATTTTTCATGATTTCACTGAAAGCAGATGTGATGAAATTGGACAATAAAGTAATTTGTTTGTTTGTTTGTTTTTCTTTTTACAAGAAGTTACCATATTGAAGCTAATGGTGTTTGCAGTTTTAAATTTCCTCAATTTTTCAGCCCTGGAAGTTCTCACTTTTACTGACTTAACTTTGAATGATTCTTTAAATGAACTGCCACCTGCTAAGCTTTTTGGGTAATATAGGCAAGAGGCTTTGACAAGGTTTGAAAAGTGCAAGTGAGAAACAAACAAACAACTGTGTCTGCCTTATCAATTTTTTGCAAGCTGCCCATTATGAGTCCAGCAATACATGTATGGTACTGAATCCAGTGTAATTTTCATAATGCTATTTTCTCTTCCCTTTTAAGCCAACTATACCTGAAGCATCAAGAGTAACACTACTGAAAAGACCCTTCAGAGTGTTAAATATATTCACATTTGTACTCTCAAATGTTATTTTACCCATGGTCCATGTACATATGATTTTCCTTATTATGAGTATCACTGACACCTATCTTGCCATCCTCTTAGATCCTTTGAATAGAAACCTTTTCATACTTTTCAGGGCATATCTCATATAAATCCCTGCATTGTTCAGTTCAGTATACCCTATCTGCAATACATGAAAGCAACTTTGAACTTAAAAATGTAAATGTACTAAATAAATGATAAATCTACTACATTGCAATGCAACATTTATGCCTTACGTGTAAAGAAGGTAATGTATATAGCAGAATCATCTCAAGTCCTGCATTGAAAATGCCTGATATAAAGGCATAATCGGGACAAGTTGGGACAACTGCTGATTACTATTGTTGTGGATACAGCTGCTGTTTTTGTAATTTATACATATATTGGGTAATACTGGTGTTGTTAACTGTGCCAGTATAGTATTTCTGATATTTATCTGTAGTATCACATCAATTTTAAAAGTGTAACGAAAACATAGTGTAATGAAAACTTGAACCTATTTTAAAAGGGGAGAGGGGGGCAAGGAAGACCAAAATAGAAAAATATTTGCAATTAGTCACCAAAGCTGTCAAATAAATGCAGTGAAGCAGAAGTCAAAACTTTCATAAAAAAAAATACTTGAGTAAAGCCTGGTGAGGTAAAGTTCCGTTTATTTCAGGCTCCGTGATAAACTATAGCCATAAGGTACGATCAGATCTAAATGTTCCAGCCACGAAAGTACCCCGCACTGTGCGTGCGGATGGGAAGGATATCTCCGCCCAGGCACTGATCCTATTGGCGGATCCCGCTGTCAAATCCGGAGGGTCCTGCTCGGAAGGCTCCACTGATTGGCTACAGGGGTCTGTGTGTGTGTGCAGGCAGCGCAGTCTGTTTGAATGTGCTGGTGACTGAAGAGGATCATTTCCATGGACCATCTGTCTTACTGGCTGCGCACAAAACAAAGAAGGACCCAGGATGGTTTTAGTGCATGTCGGATATCTGGTTCTCCCCGTCTTCGGCTCAGTTAGAAGCAGAGGTATGAGGAGCTTTATGTTCTCTTTTTTTTTCTAACGCTAACCCCGAAATAATACTTCTTCATTACTTGTCTTAAATATCCACAGATGATGTAAACAGAGCTGACACCTGCTAGCTAGAAGCGAGCCAACGTAACAGCGAGCGATACCGAAATTATATTAGCCTTCTTGCTAGCTGTAGCCGAACCGAGACCGCTAATGAAGCGACCGAAGACGTGAGCCCTCAAATGCCGACGAAGACGTTGTGTTTCGGGCCTGTAAACCGCACTAAAAGGACTTCAGCTGTCAAGCGGCAGCTTTTCTTTTCCCCTTTGCATTTTTTCTTTTTTACCCTCGGCGGCTAGCGCGCTTCTGTCTGGTTTATCTATTTATCCCTGCGCCTTGTTTATGTGTGTGCCGTCGCCGCTAGCTACTACAGCCCGGACAACAACGGCAGATTAATACTAGCCCAGCTTTATTTAGCTTACAACCTCCACAGGGGTTTCTTAAATTATGAATTTAGCCAAGCTAGGGTGGACCTCTGAATCCAAAGTGACCGAGTGTATTGCTATTTTCTTCCATTTTGCTCCTTTGTGTGCATCCTTTAAAAAAATCTCATTTCTGCGAGTTACTTTAACTGGATGGTTCTTCCACTGAAAGACAGCATTAGGCTAATCAGTGTAAATTAGTATAAGCATATGACTGGTTTTTAATGCGAATAGGCTTTAACATTTTTGGAGCATGTCCCCGTCAAACCTCTAATAAAAATAATAATAAAAAAATTCCCTGCAAATTTCGCTGCAGGTGCTCCAGTAGTGAAACAGCATAAAATCCGTTTAATAGGGCATAACAACAATAACATCATCCTCCACTGCAGCAGGGCTATCTGTGTTGATTATGTAATAATAATAGTAATTTGTCGTGCATTGTTAAAACTACATGCAGTAGCACCAATGATTTCATTGTGCTTTTATTTGTGTTCTTTTTTCCTGTTCCATAGTATCGAGGCTGGCTCTACATTCCGCATTTCTCAGACCTTTGTCCCCCTCCATTGTGTAGCTAACGATCATCTGCTGCTGTCTGCCGTAGCCTCTGCCTGTTCTCTGCATCTAGCTGTATTGTGAACCCCTTCTTCCTCATTTCCTCTTTCCATCTGAAGACGACATTGGCATTAAAACAGAGTTCCCACTCATACCGTATCCTTCTGTGTAACAGACTAAAGAATAACACTCTCTGTAGAAAACAGTTTGTCTTAATTTAAACTGTCATGTTGCTCTTTAGTGAATAACCCATTGTAGCGTTAGACTTTACTACAGACTGTCATTGTGATTCTCCCATTCAGTGTGGATAGACTACATTCTGCTGTAAATTTCTGTAAAGTGGATACATTTTGATCCTCCCCTCCCCGATTCGATTACAGCCAGGCTTGATCGAACTCGTTGATTACTCTCCTCACAAAGGTGCATTGTACCGTCTTTTTGTTGTCAAAGGAGCACTTTACAATTGCTATTACTAATAATCTTGTTATCCTGATAATCACTAATTGGCATGCAGCGCTTAAGTCATTTTGTTTTTGGCGACGTTATGTTTTTTTTCCACATTTGAAGGTCCACTGCACCTGTTAATGGTTGCTGGTCATAATCCTATCCATGTGTCAAAGCATTTGTCCCTGCTAGCTGAGCGGACTTCACAATAAATTGGAGAGATGTGAATCTAAACCCATTTTGCCATTTTTGCAGCGCCCCACCACCACTACCACTCCCTCTCAAATCTTACCTCCAGCACCTCCAGAATGCTATCCATTTTACAGGGATGTGTATATCCTGCACTGCTGTAGATCTCCTTTTTTAGAATCAAAATGTCTTTTTTATTCTTTGGTTGTGGTTTTTCTGCCTTATGTTCTTGTATTAGATCCTAATGCATGGTCATTTTATACTTTTGTTTTTCCACATTGAACAGCAGATTCCAATGTAATCTTTGTGAAGAGATGTCCCTGCTGTACTGAAATGTGCTGTAAGCATACACATCTACTCATTGGATGCTGCTTCTGTTCTGTTAACCCTACAGAGAGCATGGTCAGGCCTTGCCTTTGGTCTTTATTTGCATGGGATTATTATTATTATTATTATTATGCTTATGTAGAGTCTCTTACTCTTATTATTACTATTATCACACAGTGCCACACATACTAATATTTTTCCAATAAAGACTGTAGTTTTCTTCCTAACCTTCAGTGTGCTTTTTGCTGATTTCCATGTGTTCCTCCCCCTCCTCCCTCCACACTGTGCTGTCACTGAGACGGTCCCCTCACTCTATATGTGCTCTCATTTCTCAGCTGTCTTTGACAGAGTTTCTTCAGGTTGCCACACTGCTTACTTTGGAGTAGGGGCAAGCACATTTTCTTTCCATTTTTAAAATGCAAAGGCATGTTTGATATTGAAACCTCGACACTGACATTTCCTGTTACAGGCTGTCATTCCGTCCAAATCCATACACTATCTATAGACCAAAACACAGCCTCCCTCACAGCCAATCATTGGTGTTAACATTGTGAGCAATATGGGTGAAATCATGGTATGTGTAATATATATATTTTAAATATAGTTAATAGAAGTGTATTGCAAAAAAACGCTCAAAAGGAGTTAAATAGTAAATAAAAATACAAGTGTTTAATAATAAAAAATTTAAAAAAAAGCTGGCATGCTATATAAAATGAAAATAAAACAATATAATTTGCAAGCAAGTTAAACCCTATATTTAAAAAATAAAATAAAAGTGAATTAATGAAGCACAAAATAGAATTTAAGGATTATTCAGGCCTTTTTCCTTTTCTTTATGGAAAACATAAATAAGTTCTTGTTTTGAATTTGATGCCAGCAAAATCTTTCAAATAAGTTGCGACAGGGGCATGTTTACCACAGAGTTGCATCAGCTCTTCTAACAACACTCTTCAAGGGCTTGGAAACTATGGCAGACCGGTTGCTGTAGATTTAAAAGAAACATGTTTTCATGTAAGATTTCAGCAGCTCAACACTTCAGAGCCCCCTTTGTTATATACATGTTATTTATTTAGCTTTGGTTCGCATTATCTAGAATGTTGATACTGGGTGATGGCCCTGACCTGTTTAGCCCCTGGACTCACTCGGTACAGAGCCATACTGCTGTAATTCGTGAGGAATGTTGTTTTGCACGGTCTTGCTGAAAAAAAGGCAAGGGTTTTCCAAAAAAGAAGTCATCTGATCCGATACCTGTACATATCAAATTGTTCAGCATTAATGGCGATTTCACAGATTTGTGAAAGCACCATCAAGATTTGTGAAGTTGCTCACTAATGTATGCGCATATCATCAGGAATGGTGCCATTCTTCTGAATTATATTTATGTATAATTTGTTTGTTTTTCACAGTGGTTTTGAGAAGTTGTTTAGTCCACTTCACAGATTTCCACCACAGAACTGAAATGGCGCTGAAGAGCACTGCCGTTCAGTGTTGGTTTTCAGCTTTCCCCCCTGAATACAGAGAATTCTTAGAATTCCCTTAATCTTTTAAATAACACTGAACTTTAGATTATATAACCCAGTGATAGTGGAAGATTATGGAGATTGTGTTTACTTTGGGGGAAAAAAACCCCCCTGGTGAAACACTCAACATAGTTGCATCTAAAAGACTCTCTTTTTAAACCCAATTACAAAATTGATCTATTTTCAGTTTACCCAATTGGAATCAATACTGTTTTTTAGAAGAGGTTTCAGGCATTTTACTAGCTGGGTTTTCCCATCTTTTTGGCCCCTGTCCTAAAAAGTATAGCTTACAATTCAAACTGAGTGTATATAAAACACAACAACAGCAAAAACAAAAACGGGAAAGAAAAATAGGATAGTCATTTTTTTCTCTTCATCATCACAAAATCAGTACTGCTACCTTACCTTGTACCTTAGCAAGATGCCTTGAACAAAAGCCACCAAGTGGCTTTGTCTTACAAAGACAAAAACTACCTTCCAGCACATCTGTCAATCATTCATCGACATGTTTTAACTGAAAAGTGTAAAAGTACTATCCACTAGATAAGAGATAATGACTACCTATTAATTGGTGAGTTTTGCCTACATATTGAGTTTGCTGCCTCCTGGCTCTAGCCTTTAACATCAGTACTCAGCTATAAGAGCAATATAGACTTGACCTCCAGCACAAAGTGAACAAGTAGACAGTCCTAAATGTCTAGCTATTCCTTTTTGCAGTCTCCAAATGGGTACCGCAAAGACAATACAGAGGTTCAATAATTAAATGGTGGCTGCTCAGTCTGCATTTAAACTCGTGTCTCTGTGGTATGCTGTCAGGTCCTCAGCTGGTGTTTTTCTTTATTAGCACAACAGACCATGACACATTTATATTCATGTTGCCTTTCTAGCTGGTGACAGCAGCATAACTAAACCCAGTTAGGCTAACGTTGTTTCTCAAGCACAGATAATGTGTTAAACTCTGAGTAATGAGTGCAAATGAAATAAAAGAAGTCACATTTTTTTTGTTAGTAGTAACTCATTTCTCTTTACATGCTGGCTATGCACATCAGCCAGCTGTGTAATGACTTTTCATTTTCATCAAATCTTCAGTTTTTTAGACATCTGTTGTGTTTCTCTTTAAATGTGGCATTAGATGCTTCTTTGAAAAGTGTCCAAGTGGGACGCTTTTCTTCCATTTTAACACTTGACTCAGCTGCGTGAACCTTACATCTGCGCGCAGTGTCTGAAAAAGGCTAAAGGTGTGTCCGAGGCACAGCCATGTGTGCTCTGCAGCTGACTTCTAAATATTCCAGCAGCTGCACTGCATGTGCGGCTGCACTGATACAAAACCACGAAAAGCAAGGTCAGCACAATGGTTTTCCAAGCATGTGCATGTTATGCTGGATTTTTTTTTCTTCACCAAGTGCAGCTGTACAACACATGCACTGATTTTTGCCTCATTAATCCTCACCTTCTGATGGTGAGTGTTATAATCGGCGACCTCAGCAGGTGTGGGGATGGTTTCTGCCTAATGGGAGACCAGTGAGACAGGCAGAGGACAGGAGTGTGTTAGAGAGGAGGTGTGATGTAAAGCTGCAGTGACTTCAGGAGGAGTGGAGGGAGAGAGAAAGAAAAGAGTTGAGGTTCCATGTCAGACTGCTGCAGTCGCAGGTGGGTGGGGCTTGCTGGCTGTCACTCACTGTGGGACACCATGCTGCAGCCATGCTGTGGGGGAGGGGCCGCCTGTGCAGCAGCTGAGGGGAGAGGATAGGTGGAAGGGTGTGTATGTGTGTGTGTGTTTCTGTCTGTGAGTCAAAGACAAAGCCTCAGATGTAACAGTGGAAACATCAGGGCTGCTGCTGCTGCTGGCAGCTCTGCAGTACGTCAAATATTAATGCCAGCAGTTCATGCTGTGAAAAGCTCCCAGACACAAATAATCTGATATTTACCCTGAACTCCACACAACAGTCCAGCTTTGCCAGGTCACAGGCTTCATGCAAAACTGATGCACAGCCTTTAACCAATCCAAGCCACCAGTCTGCCATTTCTGCTCTACTTCCTCAGCCAAATGCTGTTTTTCTCTTTGCCCGTGGCTCTCTGGGTTCACTGGCTTTCCATGTCCCGAGGCTATATCCAACAAAGCAAAGCCAGACAAATATGTCGTTTCAGCAACAAAAAACAGAGCATTTTGGGAAATGCGCTTGTTTCATCTGCACAGGACTTTATCAAATCATAACCACTTCCCTGCACATCTAACTCTCCTTAATTGATTTGCTACGTCTTAAAAAAACAGTGAAGTAAAAGCAATATTTCATTTTCTGCCGTTGAGAAATGTTACACACTTGTAAAATTTTAAATTAGATCTCAACTCAGTGAACCAGCTACTGTTAATTAAACTTGTCAGGAAATATTAAATATGTCATAGACCATTAACAAAGAGCCAAATCTACAATGTGGCTTCATGTTATTGTTTGAAAGATTATGAGTAAACAGTTTAAATGGGCAGTTCTTATTCACGGGACATGCAAAGACACAATACTGACATATTTACGTATACACTGTCCTCCAGACCCCGCTGTCTGCTTTCCTCTCCAGTGGAAATTTAGAGAAGCTTTAATTGGAAGTTAAAGGAGTAATACTCTCAGCTTGCTTCCAGCATTCATTTCTGTGAGCTCTGAGTAATTTGTATTGATTGTTTTGTGCAAGTGCAACACCAAGGTGACTCAGTGGGACTAGCACACAACCTCCCATCTTCTCTGCTTAATAGGAAGGGTGGAGAGAAGACAAAAATGAAAGCCCATAAACTTTTCAGACTTTCTTGATGGATATGGTGCATTACTGTTATCTGACTCTTTTGTTGAGAAAGCCTCAGTTTAATATGTTCCTTCAAACAGCAAACGCAATAATAATAACAGAGTTTGAAACTATTGGTTTTGCTGGGATTCGTTTTGGAAATACCCTAGACCCCCAGTTAGTGAGGATGCGTCTTTCCTGTTGGCTGCACATGGCAAGTGGAGACGCAGACCATTGAGTGAAATCCGTCTGTGGGTTTAGTTGGTGCTCCACAGGGTTCTCCATGTCTGCGTCGTCCATCTGCTGTTTTGTCTGTCTTGTCTCTTCCTGTGTCACGTTCCTCTCTGCGTGGTTGGTTTTTAAATGTGTTTGTGTCTTTTTTACGAGTGTGTGCGAAAGTGCTGTTGGTTCGTCTCCTTGTCGTGTAAGTTTCAGTGAAAGCGATCGCAGCTCCGTTTTGATCCCTCGCATTTATTCCCAATAGGAGCGCACTTCACCAGGCATCAACACAGCCATGCTACCTCCTGCCGACACTTTCACCTGGGTGCTCCCCAGGCGCCCATCTCAGCTGAGTTTCCTCTAGGACATGCCAGCCAGCCCCCGCAGACAGGCCTGGCCACCCACCTGCCCCCGACGCACCATCCACCCCTCACTGCCCTGCCCGGACCCCCTCAGTTTCAGGATGTGCCGGGGCCTTCATTCCTACCTCAGGCCTTACACCAGCAATACCTCATCCAGCAGCAGCTCCTCGAAGCGCAGCATCGCAGGATCCTCCCACACTCCAGGTAGTGACCCTTGCATCCATACAAACACAACTAAAAAAACAAACAAAAAACCGAGATATTTTTAAATCAAATCTCTATCTAATTACAGAAGAGCCCAGGAGCGTATTCCCCTGAACCCTCACAGACTGCGTTCGGGCTACGAGTACTCCCCGCCCCTCCATGTTCCTCAGCCAATGACACAACAACCGCGGTACCTGGCCGAAGGCACCGACTGGTGAGTCATCGTTGGGGATTAACGAGAATCCTGCAGAGTTGAGAAATGATCCCGTCTTTTTTATCTTTCCACCCATCTGTCTGTCTGCCACATTGCCTGGCATGGGCTATGTTAATTTAGCCACGTTCCTCTCTTTCTGCAGGGATCTCAGCGTAGATGCTGGCCTCCCTCACCATCAGTACCAGCTCCAGCAGCTTCCGCAGCACTATCAGCATTACCTGGCCTCCCCTCGAATGCATCACTTTCCCAGGAACACATCCTCTGCACAAGTGGTATGTTGGTCACTTCCTCAGGTGGCCTTGGATAGCTTGATAGTCTATATTCCTGCTGTAATATAATGAAGGATTTTGTTGTAGGTTGTGCATGAAATCAGAAACTACCCATACCCCCAGCTTCACCTGTTGGCGCTGCAAAGTTTAAATCCTTCGAGGCACGCCACTGCTGTGCGAGAAAGCTATGAGGTAAATCTGACTGTCCATCTATCAAACTCTGCACCTTCCCACGGTGTCACTTTAAGTTATATGTACTAACTGTTCTCTAGCTTTTAATCAGTATGAGCTTCATAAGCAGATTTTTTTTCATTCTTTCCTGACCATGAAAACAGCAGTGAACCAAACCATTTGTTGTCCATGTAGTAGCTTTTTCTCTTTTTAGCATTCTGGTTCATTTTATTAACTGGGCTGTTCCTGCAGGAGCTGCTGCAGCTGGAGGATCGACTGGGGAGCGTTAGCAGAGGAGCTGTTCAGACAACCATAGAGAGATTTACTTTTCCACACAAATACAAGAAGGTATGGCAGATGAGACAAAAATCTGTTGAACGTTTGCTTTTTCCCCCCCTTTGTTTTGACCCTACATTTCTGTCTCTCTGTAATGTGACCCACGAACAGAGAAAGCCCCTGCAGTTGAAGATTGGGGAGGAGGAGGAAACAGATGTTGATGAAAAATGTACCATATGTTTGTCCATGCTGGAGGACGGAGAAGATGTCAGGTAATAATTACTTTGTAGACCCAGAAATCATAAAAAAGAGAAGTGCACTTATTCTGAGTGAGTTAAATGGGAAAATCTATACCAAATTGATTTGATGGGAAACATGATGCTGCAGGCTGCAGATGATGAGCTTAGCTCAGAGATGCATTGCAGGATGGGTCTAGACAGCAGGGACTGATGGGGAAGACGAGATGGAAGCCGGACTTCCTTTTCTATTATCGTAGACAATATGACATCATTGAAAGACTGATAAGCTAATTGCCTGAGTGAGACATCAAGCAATTGCAAGAGATAAAAGAGGCACGACTACAGGAATTACTCCAGATCCCATTATCAGCGTTGCCTTCTAACATTTTTGTCTGATTTTTGTTTTCCACTTTATAATAAATATCACTTTACCTGACTTATTGTCAGGTTTACTGATAATCATGATATGATACACCACATCTCTGTGTATTGTCTGCAAACTCCTCCTGTGCAGTCTGTAGCACAGCAGCCAAACGTTGCACACAGGTACATCTTAGGTCCCTGATGCTACTTAACCACCTACCAACAAGCTAAAGTGGACTATTTTTAGCTTTTACAGAGCTATAACACCTTAAAATGTATATTATTTTGATTCAAGGACAGCAACATCTAATTGATACTTAAAAACTATGGTATATGTGATATAATGTCATCAGGCTTCCTGGCAATAAAGGACTAATAGTCAGAACATGAGCATGGGCCTGTAAAAGTAAATATAATAAATTTAATATAAGTCATTTCATGAAATGCAGTCATTTCAAATCATCATTTCATCCACTGTCTATGTAATATAATGTAAGAGTTTCTGACAAATACCAAGTATTTACTTCTTCCCATTGTGTTTCTGCCGACCTTCTGAGCAAATCAGTCATGAGAATCTTTCCAGTCCTGTACCACATGTGTGCATAAATGAGCCTCTGCTATGAGCTGTTGCCAGACAAATAGCTGAGACTCTAGGAAGCTGCTGATCATGGCTAAGAAATAGTCCAATCTCAAGCCACCCACATACCAAAATTTAGTTACATTTTTTTTTTGATAGTTGTATTTTCACATGGAGACAAAAATCCCCTTTAGTGTTGCATCAGGAAAGGCATCCACCATAAAACTGATCAAACATGCAGAACTACCTGCTGCAGTGACCCCTTGTGAAAATGGAGCTGCCAAAAGTAGCCTCTATGCAGAGGCAGAAGCATGGCAACAACCTGCTTTTCAAATGCTGGAATTATAATCCCTAAAATGTTCTGTTCCATTACGCACATGCATTTGAAACAGTGGTTGGGAGTGAATTTTTAGGTAACAAGAACTGTCCCCCTGGGTGAGGCGAGAGGATCGGTTTGCAACATAAGAGTCTCAGCTGTCTGAGAGGCATTTGGGACTGACTACTCAACAACAAAAGTTGTCTCTACATGCCTGAATGAACAGAATTAACTCCCCGAGGGTCTTTTTAAGCTCACAACTGTATGCACTGGAAAAGTAACACACAGTCATGTGAATCCACACTGACCCTAAAGTTTGTCTCTCTTCCTATCCTGCAGGAGGCTGCCCTGCATGCACCTCTTCCACCAGGGCTGCGTGGACCAATGGCTGGCCACCAGCAGAAAGTGTCCAATCTGTCGAGTTGACATCGAAACACAGCTGAACCCCGACAGCTGATGAGATTCGACACTCTCGTGATTCAGTCGCCCTCGTGGTGCGATTCTTGCTTTCTTCCACCCCCGGCTCGCCAGCCTCCCCCACCTTACCCTACCCCACCCCACCTCCCTCGACCTCCTCCTTCCCGTCGGGTGCTTTGCCAAATGTCTCCAGACTTCATGTGACATCACCACCCTTCTGAGTCACGCTTTACTGAGCCAAGCCAGGAAAACTAACTGCACGGAGAGGCCGCAAAGGACTCTCTTTATATAGAAGCACATCCCTCTGGAAGCAAAAGACACACTAACAAACACATACTCATATACACAGGGTTTACTTGTAGCTTGCTGGTCTTACGTGGGGTTGTTATTGCTGTTGTGGTGTTGTACTGTAGGTAGCCTGGGGCTGTGTAGCATGTCCTCAAAGCCATGACTTAATGTCCTGAGACTAGAAAACACATAACCCCAGACCTAGCTGGCTACTTTTCTCTCTTCTCTTCAATCTCTCTCTCTTGCTCTCTTTTTACACACACACACACACACACACACACACACACACACACACACACACACACACACAAATATATATTTCTCTCTTTTTAAACACAATCAAAATGAATATTCTGCCACGCAAGAAAGCTTAACAGAATCTAAATGCTCTGATGCCATGTTTACCTAAAGATCATTTGTGGTCGTAGTAGAGTAGCAGTAACCAATAAGTGAGATCTGGTGCGACCTCCTCGAGGCCAAGCACCAGCTAGCTGGGTGTTTTAATTCTCTCATGCAGCTTTTGACATTTCGCAGTACAGTTGTGCGTTTACCTTGGGTTGGTGTCATGTGCAGATGGTGTGATGTGATTAGGTCTCATTCACTGTCAGGGAAAACCCAGTGACTGCGATGTTTTTGTGTTTGAAATTGAAAAAGAAGAAGAAGACAAAAAATAATAGTGTTTTCACCAAAATGCATTATGTCACAGTGTAGCTTGAATCTCCGCACAGGTTTTATGTCCACTGCCCATGCCATGTGTCACTTCAAGAGACTGCGTCTCACACAAACGTGTTAGGTGAAGAACACGGCCACCGGAGTGCTTATACAACACAAAACCAAAAGAAACAAAAAGAAAAAACACAAAAAAACCTGAAAAGGGATGAACAACAGAAGCTATCATGCACTGCAGAGCGAGGTGGGAGGATTTAGCTGCCCTTGTACCTGCATTTCCATCTGGCACTAGGCCAGTGGCAGAACAGTGCACACTAAAAAACAAAAAAGGAAGATTGCATGTTTCATTTTTTGGGTTTGGGGCTGTTGGCTGTGGTAGCGTTTCTTCACTTTTAAAAGGTACAGAGACGCCTGTGCATGACTTAGTTAATCTGAGCTGTGACTATCTTCTGAACACTAACAAATATTAATAATAATAATAATAATTTTTAAAAAGTCAGTGGTTTGCTCCCCTGACTTGTAGCGCGTGTCATCCGGTTCCCTTTGGTGGCGACCTTGGGATCCTGTTTTTTGATGTTTACCTTATTGCCTAAAGAACAAGCACATGTGACGATAGTTATAGCAACAAAAGTTTCTCCTCGGCATCGCGTTTGGTTTATATATAGGTACGGATTCATGCAGTGTTTTGAGCTGGGAGAGGAGCTTGCGTATTGATCTTGTGTTATATTTGTGTGACAGACCTCCCCTCGTGGTTGCTATGCTGGTTGCTATGCTGTATTTGCTAGAACATGTAGAAACGTGGTGCGACGGAGGCAGCCTCCCTCTCACAGTGCACACAGACACGAGACGACAGGACAGCAGGAAAGCATTCAGGCTGTTAAAACACACACTCTCTCTATCACCATTTCTTCTCTCTTTTTTTTACCCTTTGTGTCAGCTTGTCACTTCAGTTCCACAGAGCTGTGTGTGTTTGTGTGTGTGCGCGTGTGTTACAGGACGCCTTTAGGACCCTCACTGTCCTCTCTGCACTGTGATAGCATATAACAAGGGTAACACTTGGCCCAGAGACTCAATTAACAAGGCTTACTTCTTCCTGTCTTGTGCACTGCCAGTGTTGACACTGCCTCCTCCTGTAGTGGAGTCATCCGTGATGAAAGTTGTCATAGTTTACACAGGGTGTTGTCAGTTGAGATGCCTTAAGTATTTAACAATCATAATTTATTACTAACTGTAGATACTGTGGGTATGTATTTAATTTTATATAGTTTTTTTTTCTTTTTCTGGAGTTGGGTTGACTGAATCATAATTTATTTATTTACAAATATAACATGAAAAGGCTATTAAAAAATGGATACCTCATGTTTTTTGGTTGCATTGTTTTAAATGGGAATGCTTTGCATGCAGTTGTACTTTTTCGGAACACTAAAAGTAAAAAAAAAAGGGGAAAAAAAGTTCTGCTGTTTGATCTCCACAAGCTGGCTGTGCGATGTTTACTGACCAAGGCTGAGCTACTGAGCCCGTTCTCTCTCTTTCTCTCTCTCTCTTCCTGTCTTCTATGTCTCTTTTTCTCTTTCATGTGGTGCTGTGGATCTTGGTTACATTCCATTCAATGCAATCTCTCCAATCCCCCATGCTGTGATGTAGTGAACAAACTGCAAGTGAATTGGTTTTGGTTTGTGACAATTTTTTTCTTTTTTTTTCTTTCTTTTGCACTAACTTGTTTAAAATGGGAACCCTCTCACTGGCAAAAAAAAATAATAATTTTAGATTATTTAAATGAACTGGCTTTTATTTTTTTATGCTCTGCTTCTCACACAATGCACTAAGGGTCTTAATGAAACATGTTCCTTTGTTTTAACTCTTTGTGTTATCTCTTCAGTTGTCATCTCTCTAGTGTTTCTCTGTTCGTTGGTTTCTTATGTTGTTGTTTTTTTTCCCAAAATGCTTTGTAGATTTAAGCATAACAAGTGCCTCGCTTTAAGTGTTAGGGAATATTTCCATATAACGGAAACCATGAACAACAATCAGTCCATCCACCATGCCTTACTGGTTGCTTAGTTAATTAAGTGAATGGAAAACGAAGGAGCTGAGACAACATTTGACTAAAGCCATTATAATCAATCAATCCAAGTCAAGCTGTCCAAAAACTAGCTGCCGGTTTGTAGTACCGAAGCACTGCATTGCTGTGGAAATAGCTCTGACTATAAAGAGGCATGTTTCACCGTGGGCTTTACAGCGGTCCTTTCGATGTACTTCTCCATTCTGTTTTCTCCTCTTCTTTCCGTCTCCGTTTGATTTTACCGTCCGTCCCTCCTCTCCGACTCTCTCTCTGTTTGCTTTCACAGTCTAAAAAAGGAAGGCAAGGATTTAAAGCACAACCTTTTCTAAAGAACAAAAAACAAATGCATGTTTTCTCAGGTTTCAGTGTAGTCGCAATGGTTTCATAGTATATGGTGAAAATATATACAAAGAATATAACAGAAAAAAAATTATAAATTTTGTTGCTGCTTGAATCTGACAAAAACCAACAAGTGAAGAGAAACTATCCCAAAAAGTGCCAGTGAAAGGGCTGCCGCCATCCTTGTATGAAAACCTGCTGTTTAGCTGTGACTGCGCAATGTTTTTTCAAAATAGGATATTTTATCTGAAAATAGAACTATTTATCATTAATATTAAAGCAATAGCGCATTAAAATGGTTTTGAGCGTGTTGATGATGAAGTGGATGAGCCTGTTATGGGTAAATGTTAGATTTACATTTGGTGGAATTTTGTACTTTATTTATTATTACTACTACTAATAATGATGATAATGATCTCAAAGGTTGCATTGCTAAACCCAAACTGTTCTGGTTTTAATTTTTATTTTATTTCATGGCTTGTATATTATCCTTTTATATGTGCTCTTTTTGTAATAAACTTGATAAAATGGAAGTGAACCTATTTTTTCTTTTGTCTTTTTTTTTAACCCCTCAAAATTAGTTAAAGGTGAAGTCAGGTCATCAGGTTGTTTTATAGAGAAAAAAAAAGATATTGTACTTATAAATTTATAGCGTTTTACGTATGTGGCTAGAGATCACCCACATGTCAAAAGCAGAGAAAAAAGAGAACTGTGGGTGTACTGTAAATATATGTTTTATCAGCTTTGATGGGATCTCCTTTACCAAAGAAGTGAAAACACAAAGAAAAGAGGCAACAGCATCTGGATATAAAGTCATCCTCTTCCTCCTCACCTCAAGTCTTATCTGCTAAACTGAAGTCAGGACTCTAAAACATAAAAATGTGTATAAACATCCTCATTTATTCCTAATATTATTCCAGTTACTTATTGTCAGAAGATTAGACTGTTATCTTTCTATCTCCAGCTAGCTGACAAAAGCTAACAACAACAGCAGCTGGTTTTAAGCTAACATTATGCTAGCTAACGTTAGGCTAAAGTATCCTAAAATTCCTAAAAATCCTAAAAATTCACACTTGATAACATTCTCACACCTTATAAGAGGTTATTCACTCAGAGCGTCAGAGTTCAGCAAAGCTACATCCACTTCAAAGACTGTTTCACAGAAGCTAACAGAGGCTACCAGCAGCAAAAACTATAGTGCCGCCTAATGTTCTGTATGTCCTCAACAACTCACCTTAGTATGGCTGTCATTGTTCAGACATGAGCTTCTCTGACTCAGTGACACATATTGGACTTGAAAATAGAGATAGGTGCTTCTTACTGGGCATTGACAGCTAAGGCAAACAGAAGACTGACAGCTTTTCACAAATAGGGAAAAACTCTTTCCGGATCTGGTCCAAGCATTAATAGAAACTTGCCGACTGACCATGTCACCATGGGGAACAGTCTAAATTTAATGTTTATGGTCTCTCTTGACTGACTACAACATGTTTTTCCTTTGGCCACCGTATCTAGGATTATACACTTGAATCAGGGACAAAAGAACTCAGTTGACTGATTTCTGCAATCTACTGACATGTAGCAGTTAGATTGTAATTCAAAAACCCGAAGAAATCATGGAATCTCTGTGTGTCCCTGTATTGTTGACTAGACATTAAAACAATTGTTTTGGGCCAAGGAAAAAGTTATAAATATAAAATTCATACACAATTACTTCTTAACGATCACTTTGACATATTTGAATGTCCCATTTGAGTCATTTATTTACCTGTTTAATGTAATGTCTAAATATCATTCTCCACAATTTGCATAGAATCATCAAAACTGAACAACAGAAGATTGGAAAATCATTGCCTGGTCTGTTGAGACTCAGTTTTTGCTGCAGAAATTCAGATGGTAGGGTCAGAATTTTGTGTAAACAACATGAAAGCATGGATCTATCCTGCGTTGTATCAGTGATTCAGGCTGATACTGGTGATGGTGTAATAGTGTGGAGGAGATTTTCTTGGCACATGTTGGGACCCTCAGTATCAACTGAGCATCATTTTAACACCACAGCCTACCTGAGTATTGATGCTGACCGTGCCCATCCCTTTATGACCACAGTGTACCAGTCTCCTTCCAGCATAATAGTGCGACAGGTCACAAAGCTCAAATCAACTCAAACTGGTTTCTTGATTTGTTGAATGAATTCACTGCACATAAATTGTCTCCACAGTCACCGGATCTCAGTCCAATATAGCATCTTTGCAAGTTTGTGGAACTGAATATTTGCAACAACTGTGTAATGCAATCAGGTCAATATGGATCAAAATCTCTGAGGAATATTTCCAGCATTTTGTTTGCTGTGTTTAAGGCAGCTCTGAAGGCAAAAGGAGACGACTGTAATAGCAAAGTATAACTAATGAAGTGCCCAATGAGTGTATATTTCTGCTTAACCAGACTTGAAGGTAAAGTTTAGACCTACCAGCAAGTCAGAAGTGAAGCTGAAAACTGGGTGTTATAAACAAATTGGATTTATTTATTCATTTGTTCATTTTATAAAATCTGTATTACAACAAAACAATGCAAAGAATCCCTGATATTTAAAAAGATTGGCACTTTCCTTTTTCCTGACCACATTAGACATCATCATGACATGTTTTTTTTTAATGTCTCAGTTCCTGAGATATAAAACTTGCTAGAAGGAGAATCTCTTTGGTCATTACTTTTAAACATAAGAGGACATGCTTGAGCTGTAGGGTTTTTTAGTATTTTGGGTAGATGGCCCTGGAGATCTTTCCATCTGCCTTCTTAGAGTCCAGCCATTTCCCGCAGAGAAAGATAGTGGTAACACCATTGGCTGTGTTGGTGACTTCCACACGATCGAGCAGCCAGCCAGGGCTGAGACCGGAGTTGTCGTGTTCTACCCGGACTTTCTGCAACTCCCCCATGTCCAGCATTTCCACAGAGAAACGGTCTGTTTGCCCACGTTCAAAAAGGTTACGAAACTTCTGACGCAGTTGCCTGCAACCCGAATCTCCATTGGAGCCATAGAGAGTAATGAAAACATTGGCATCGGTTCCTGCACCCTTTTCATCACCTGTGATGACGATGATCTCATATTTGACAGGTACCAGGCTTCGAGCTTTGCTTGCAAAGCTCTCGATGGTCTTTGTGCACTCAACGGTGATGAAATCGTCCCTCTTAGGAGAAAGAGGAATGAGGGAATTGCATTTGAAAATGTACCTGGAGATAATGGAGCAGAGCAGAAGGAATATAGTCTAACCATTTGAGAATATCAAGAAATTGTTTGATGGTGGAAAATAAATGAATGGCTACAGTGGGGAAGCAGCTGCCTTACTTGTTTCCCAGTTCTCTTTCGGTCACAACAACCTCCTCCACGTGCCAGTAAACCTCCCCCTTTACTTTCTTTCCATCCTTGGGTGTATGGCCCAGACAGATGCCAGCAATATCACCCAAGTTCTTGGATGAAAATTCAAACCTGTCAACATTTCCCCTAAAAAGAGAGAGGAACATGGATTCGTTGGTGAAAGTAGCTATTAGAGCAGGGCGATATGACCAAAAATATTTATCACGATATACATTTGAAAATTTGCGATAATGATATAACTGACGATATAATTGACACTAGACAAAATACTTTACAACTGTACAATTGTATTAGTGCAAAAAACCCCATCAATGTATTTTCACTTAAACAAGCAGCTGTTTTTTGCATTAACGTTATATAAAAATGTAACAGTGCAAATTCCTTGCTGACAGTTTAACCAAAAGGCATTTCCAGTGGAAATTGGCCGTCATATCCTCAGCATAACCATGTATAATATCCACAAAACTTAAAAAGAGCTTATACACACGCAATACGGTAATATTATGTTGAAGCACAGTACGTATCACTCCGCGAGGCTGTTCCCTACGATAGACGTAATGCTCAGACAATCCATCAAGTGGTGCAGGTTTGTAGCTTAGCAAAGTCGTACTAAAACATCAGTCAGTAAACACAACCAGAATCCAAACATAAGGCACACGGTATTATAAGAGGCAGTGTCGATTTTCAGAAAAATCAAAGGATTGATTTTAAGTGTGCCGTATTTTCCAAAAAACACGGTAATAACCACGGCCCGCTAGCACGCTCTACCAAAAATAGTGCTTTGTTGTGTATCTGACGGACGAAAGCTAAACCAGTTCTACATCACTGAAGTTGCAGCATTTTTACAAACCAATTCTGGTTCATCCTTTTCATTCAACGATCCGCTTTCACCCATGTCATTCTCCGTCGCCGCCGTGCCTTTTTCGCCATGTGCGTATGAAAACAAAGGCACTGCGCATGCGTGTTTTACCCATATTCTATCGCGATATTTCATTTTCTTGTCATTGCCCAACATTATACCGGTATTACCGTGAACGGTATGATATGGCCCAGCCCTAGTAGCTATTCCCTTAAATTGCTTTGCCTTAATTGAAATTCACATCACTGTCAGTTTGTTCTGTGTCAGAATTAATCTTTAACAGGATGGAGTGTAGTCATGACATCAGAGTGCGGTGCTGGTCTGGTCTTAAGTATTTTGGATAATCATCATGAGGGCAGAGAGAGATGCAGAGGGAGAGAAAGCACATTTCTTTTTCATGCAAACAAGCTGCCGGTGACTGAGTTAATCTTGCAGCAAGTACCTACCGCAAGAACCTCTTCTTCTTTGAGGAGTTCTCCATTACAAATTCTTTTGATCGACCCTTTCTCCCTTCAAGTACAATCCAGGCATTTTCCTTGGTTTCAGCTGTGTCTCCAGTTGTGATACAAATTTCATACTCTGTCATAGAGAAAAGGAGACTCAGTTACAGTAAAATGTTGTTGCACTAAACTACAAGGGGGGATAATTGAATGCTGTGAGGTGCTAGCCTTACTGGTCTTTTCATTGAGGTCCAAGTAGTCATTGTTAGCACAGGCCAGCTCTCTCATTATCTGTCCATCATCATCGTTCTTGGCAAGCCAGCGGTCACAGGGGAAACGAAATGTTTTGTCCATGATCTCGTCCTTCACGTCAATATACTCCAAGTGCCAGCCTGGAGCAATACCTGCATGTAACGAGATGCAAAAAATACCAGTGTGCAGTGCTTTCAAACTTTTCATTCTAAGAACAGTTGAGCTCAGTCTAAGCTGTTCACCGTGCCAGTTAGAGCAGCTGACCTGTGTTATCGTGCCAGACTCGTACTTTGGAGAGGTCTCCCATGCTGAGGATTTCTGGGAAGCGAAACGTGTCCACCTGCTTGCGTTCAAACTTGTTGGACTTGTTGCACTCTTTCAGCGCCAGTGTTCCTGTGTCCCCGTTCTCTCCAAAAATAATGATCCACACGTTGGCATCAGTGCCTGCCCCTGAAGAGATGCAGCAGTTTACTATTTAGAAAAAAAAATCCTCGACAATAATAAGGGATTTTTCTTGGTTTGGTTACACTTTTAAATAAACATGGGTGGAACCATGGACAGAACTTTGCTTGGATTTTAGTCTATAAAGTCACAGCTTCCCAGTCTACATGGTCACTGAATGCAATTAACTATAATAAAAATGATTTACTGTCACTCGAGCTAGCTCTAATTATATACGTGCAAAGCAATTAAGCTATATCAAAGAGTTGTATGGCAGTAAAAAGGCTGTACAGCAATAGCAAATCACCACCTGAAAAGTAAACTGGGGAGCAGTGAGAGCTGGGTTCTCTGACTCATACAGCGCATCTATAATCCCCCTGTGCTTTATTATTTTATCACAGTCGGTTAGATCCTGAGTGAAACCTCACTCAGCCTGCAGCATGTTTTCAGTGTCCTTGCTTAAACTCGCTTCTGTAGAGTAGGCAAGAGTGTTGATCATTTAACAATCCAGCAGTCGTAATAAGAAATTATCACGCTGGCAATATTTGAGATCTGGATATTTTTAAAGTTACATGTAACATATGGAACTTATGTGACATATATTCTAATGCACACACTTGATCTTCAGTACCTCTTTATAGTATACGTGCATAGGAACAGCTCTGCCTATGTGATGTTGTTTGTGGGTGTGTTTGCATCTATCAGCCTTGCTCATTTTTTCCTCCCAGAGCCTTAGTGGCGGTGCAAGGCTACATGTCAGCTTCCAGTAACTGACAGTGGCAGGGAGCAGCCCTTTGAAGTCGGCTCAGACTTCTTGCCATTCTGATCGTATTGATCAGCAGAGCAACTGAGCTAGATGAAAATCCAGGGTGAAGAAAAGATGGAGCAGCGGTGTGGAGGGCTTCTGAAGAGGATCTCTTTAATTGCCACGAGGGATTCAGCCATGAATTATTCCACCTTTGCCTTTGCCTAGGAAAACAACAAACCCCTGCACAAGGGCAGGCAAAATGAGGCTCTAACTCTGCATTGATCTTTGGGTAGTGACTGAAAACACGGGATGGCAGTCATACAGTAATTAGTCTCTTCCAGGCAGCAGCTCGTTTGGCTTTGATGGGGAGGGTTTCACAGGATGTTCACAGTATAGAGCCACTCGCAGGTGCTCAAATGCAGAATACTCTCTGGTGTATCCTTTGAAAGTGGTCCGAAAAACAGATGATGAGGATGTGATCCAGGAAACGCTTGACAAATTAAATGTGTCCGCTGACCACAGAGTCCTTCAGGATCCCCCGGGAAGAGCTGGAGGATGTTCCTGATGAAAGAGGATGTCTACTCTGCTCAGTCTCAGCACCCCTGAACCCAGAGAATAAAGGCCGAATGGACAGGGAATGCTCATAGGCCTGTTAAGTATACTTAGAGTGCCCTCACTGACCCCACAGCTCAGACCTCAACATTTCAGTTATTATTTGGTTTTATGTTGACACATTAAGATATGTGCAATCAAAACTGCACATATCTTACAGAAAAACTGTTACAGAAAAAATGTGCTTCATGTTTCCAATCTTACCTATTTGCTTGTGAATAAGTAATCATTTGATATCGTCAAGCCCCTAAACATGTTCAAATCAAACAATATGAATCTTAAAATGGCCACAACAAATATTGGCAACCTGTAACTAGTTTAAAAAACAGTGTCTGAAAGAAGCTTTTATGCTTTTCATTTCTTCTGTCACATATATCCTGTTACAATGATGGGTTCTCATATTAAACACAGACAAATTTTCAAATAATTATCCAGCATATGTGCAAAATCCCTTCCCTCATCACTATCTTCTGTTTGGGATAGATAACCAATCAGAGCAAGCTGACTAAAAGGGCAGGGTATCCTTTCTTTGCAAGCTCCTTTGACTATCCTTAAAGAGAGAGACCTAAAACTGAAGGATGAGCTGAAAGGTGGCAACAACACTCAGTATAAGAACTGCACTGAGCAATGTTATGTTTGTTAGTTCTCTGCACTTGAATACAGTATTACGCAAAGTTGTCCCTCATATCTTCATATTTTGCTTCCAAAGAGTCAGACTTTCCTGTATTTTTCAAAAGCACTTTGAAAAATACTTTCCCTGAATTTATGAAGAGCTTTCAAAGTTTTTCTTTGGACACTGGGCAGTCCAGTCATTATGCTTGACCTGATTATACTTGAAATTTCAGAGGAAGGTTTTGTTTGTTTGTTTGTTTGAATCATTTAACATTGATCTATGACTCATTCAAACATAAAAGGACACCTTGAAGATTTCCATGTATGTTTGGACAAGTACTGCATATTTCGAATGGGACCACAGAGCTGGGTTGAGAACCTACCTGCGACGTCACTTGTCTTGACCTGGACAATGTAGGTAGTGACCTCCACCATCACCTCCTCGTCCACCACAGCTGCCATCTCACAGATCAGTGTCCTCTTGGGTCCATGTGTCCTGGACAGCCACCCTTCATAGGTAAACACAGACACCTCCTCCGTGGTCAGGTTACGCATGATCACCTGAATGCACAGAATTAGCTTATAAATTAGCAAAGCGTTTGGAAGATTGCATTATAATTATTAAAGGTAAGATTTAACAGTAATAAATGCTGCTGTGGTGTGATGTATTACAACAGGAGTATAAATATCAACCTGCAGATGAAAGTTCAGGGCATCATCAGTAGTAATGCATTCACTTATGATTGATATTGCCATTACTTGAACCACAGTACTAGTGTATTGAATGCTGTGTCATATTATGGCTGGATGAGTACTGTGTTACCAGCAGGTACACTAATCCTGCATCTCTGAAGGTTTCTAGTTTCTAATAACAGGAAAAAACTTCTCTGTTAGGCCAAGAATCAGCCAGACATCTATTAGCTCTCCCTTCTGCGTATTTATCTGGACAGATTACTATGCTGGCAGTCCACCTGGTGCACCATTGTGTCAGTTTCAAGGCGACAACCTGTCCATAAAGGCAGCATATCTGCTTGTGATGCTGAACACACAAGGCTCTGTTCAGGGTCAAGTCAAGGAGATGTTCACAGCGGCTGAGACTCGGGCACGGATGGACAGGGCTTTGTATTGTTTCTGACTGCTCTGCCGCCCTACAGGCATGGTGCATTTAGTAGAGAAGACATTTGCATAGGAAATGTGTTCTACTTCATCAAAACCTTTAGCCTGAGACTTCACACTAAATTTAGTGGTGGGAAGTGATATCATCCTCACAGAATCATTTAAAAAAATCTTTCAGTACTGAGGCAGTCAATTCCAATATGTTGCACTAGTATTCTGTAAATTAATTTATATATAAGATGAAATGATTTCTCTCTCGAGGCCAAACACGGTGCTCATTTGTAGCGTGTGCGTACTGTAAGAGAGAGCGTGTCCGTGATTCAAGCAACAGCGGCACGGAGAATAAAATGGGTCAATATGCTCACTCCAGGAGTTCTGGGCCCTGCTCTGTGTGTGTGTTTGTGTGTGTTGTTGCCTGTGTCTTTGTGTGTGGTTGAATCATTGACCGTTCTCCTGCAGGCGGGGGTAGATGTGTGTGTGTGTGTGTGTATTTGTCTGTGCCATATAATAGATTGAATGATCCTGTGACCTACAGCATGTGGTGCCAGGATAAAAAAACACAAGCCTGTGAGTGCTTTGTACTATTGATCTTGGAATGAGATAGCGATTACTCTTCTGCTTTTTATGTTGCTGGTTTTATGTTTTATGGTTGAGATCTGCAGTTTCTTCTTTATAACAAATTAGGCCTCGACAAGAACAAAAAATTCTATGCATAATATTACTAAAGAGCTCAATCTGCACACGTTCCCTTTTGCTCTAGCTGTTCCTGGGGGTTCTTTCTAAACCCTTTTTACCAAATAAACATCTTCTAAATGACTGCATTGTATCTGTGTGCCTGGTGAGCCGACCTTGTCAAGAAACCAGTCGGGCCGACTGCCTGATCCATCTATCCGGAGTCGCATTTTTCTCAGTGGGGCAACGTCATCGATCTCCATGTTAAAGGTGTCCTCTTGACCTCGCTCAAACCTTTTGTTCACCACCACATCAAAGCACAAAGTTTAGAATCTTGAGTATGAATTGGTCCTCTCTTTATTTTACAGTTAGATACATGAATGAAAATAGAAATCATTGATGCTACCTGTCCTCATTCTTCTGCAGCAGCATCTCCTCTGTACTGCCGTTGGCCCCAAAAACAGTCATGAAGATCTGGGTGTCTGTTCCCGCATTCTGCACATCTCCGGTTACCACTGTCACCTCATAGATAATCTAACATGGAAAGATTATCAGACATCAAACAATACTATGCTCCCACAAGTACATCTACAGCTTCACTGGACGAGCACATACGAATTAATTCAGTCATTTTAAGGTTGTAAACAGTGATAAAATAAGCACAAATGCAGACATTGGTTATTTAATAGCTATGCCATGAAAAGGGAGGTGACAGCCAATATTTTGGGGCTTCCAGTGTAGCAACAGTTGTGAATATCTGGGCTAAGAATTCCTGTTCTGTTCACCAGTGAAATATAAAGGAGCTAAACCATCGTGTAGATGGATGCTGATGGTTTAGAGTAGTTGTAGGCAACTCCAGGCCTCGAGTGCCGATGTCCTGCAGGTTTTAGATGTGTCCTTGATCCAACACAGCTGATTTAAATGGCTAAATGACCTCCTCAACATGTCGTGAAGTTCTCCAGAGGCCTGGTAATTAACTAATCATTTAATTCAAGTGTGTGTATACAGGATGAGATCTAAAACCTGCAGGATACCGGCACTCGAGGCCTGGAGTTGCCCACCCCTGGTTAGAGTCCAGTTTGGCAAACACAAATCCTGATGTTGCTAGGATTTTCACATCAACTGCTGTCTTCTGTGCGTGTCAACCACCATGATGTCTGGCTGGTTGGCCAGAAGCTGCGCCTGTGTGACAGTCAAAGTCCCATAGGACCTTCGCCATGTTGCTCTCAACTACCTCTGGAGGCGTCTCCCATCAGGACTTGTGGACTTCTCTATATGCCACACAGGTGTTCATCTACACCATCCTAGCCACTAGGTTTTGTCTCTATGGAGCCAATGCTTAGGTCCTGCTCCTGTGCTGCCGTGATCACCATCTGTGCTGTCCTTTAGGCCAGCTTTCTCTAGACACTGAAAGGATTTCTTAATTTCCACTTCTTCAGTCTGTTGATGGCAGACCCCATGGAGGGCCTTGATCTTCCTCCTGTTCTTTATCACAGTCTCCCTTCAGCTGCCTGAGACACTGTTGTCATGCTGTTGCTTTTCGTTTTATCCTGAATCACGGCTCTGACAGTCACTAATGATAACCCTCCTGCTTAGTAGAGCCTCAGCTTGCAAAAACCTCTGTGCAATGTGAGGTGTTTTCATGTCTTGAAATCAGTGGAAATGATGTCCTCTTGTGGACAGCTTATTATATATTATTATACATGTACTATGGTAAGTTTACTACTTTGTACTTTCTAAATCATTCTCTTGTCTTAATTTAACTCAGTAACACCATGATGTATGTATGTTGCCTGCAACGTGGCTTTGCTTTCAATAGCACGTCTACATTTACAGACCTTATGGGAGATAGAAATGGCTTCTGAGTCCAGCACATTGAATACTCTAGCAGTCAACCCATCTCCTCGATCTTTGGCCAGCCAGCACTTGCAAGCAAATATATATTTGACCCCTTTGGTTGGCACAGCAACACATAGTTCATCAACCAGCCAGCAGCTCTCTGGAGTGGCCCCATCATGGCCGAGCTGCAGGAAGGAGAGAAACAATCACTGCCAGGAACGTGGGTGTATTTTTTCTGTGTGTTTCAGTGTGTGTGTGTGTGTGAGAAGCTATGTTAGTGCAAAATCTTCAGTGAAACAAATTCACCTGTCACTCACCTCAACCTTTTTGATCTCCCCCACATCTGAACCGTGGGACTCGAAGCTCTCCAGAGAGCCGGCCTCAAAGCCCTTCCTCCCGTCTTGCAGGTCCAACCACAACCTATCTGTCTGGGTGTGATTAGCCCCGATAATGATGACATAAGCCCTGCTGGTGGTGCTCGCATCCCTCTCCAGTCCAGTGTAGATGGTGATGTGATAAGGTATGACTGCATAGAAAGGGCCGAGCAACTGTTCGTTCATTTGATGCATTCAAGGGATTAACAACAAACACATGAGAGAGCATCAGGTGAACTAGCAGTGCAGAAGAGACTTGAGTTTTCTTACTTGGAAGATCAATTTTTTCTTCTTTCTTCTTCTTGTTCTTCTTGTTCATGTTATTGTCGACGCTTTTCTGCATTAGAGCCAAGTTCTTCTTTTCACTGGCCGAGCTCTCTCGAACTCCTTCATAACCCTGAGAAAACAGAGCGGACACTTAGTGATGCAGCAGCCATATCTGCAGAGATACAGACCCAAGTCGATGCTAAGCCACTAAATGTTTTACAAAGACTTCAAAAAGGTGCTGAAATTATTTCAGGTGGTGTGCCACGAAAGAACAAAAAATGAATCCTAGTCACTTTGGTGATCAACCGCCATTCACTTTAAAGTGGATCTGTCACACTTTTTCTCATGTTATGTAACATATACAGCAGGGCTCTGTGTTACAGTGGTAAATGCGCTTATACAGCCAAAGTTTCAAAGAATGAGGTCAGCATATGTGCAAGTAATTCATATGAGCCAAACACTGATGTGAATTTCAAACTTTTCAAATTCATTTATTTTTTACTCTTGGCTCTGTTGTTGGGAGAAGATCTCCCTAATATGGTCTTCTCAGGCACACAGGTCCGGCTGTGAGCACAGAAACCCCACCCACTTGCTGTTCTCTGTAATTGAGGGGCTGCCAATGAGAATAAAAGGGAGCTAAAATGGCTTTTATTTGGTCTGTAAATGAACTGAAGGGCAGTTATTATTTTTTTGCTATTGTAAAAACATCTAAGAATAAAAATATGGAGCTAGAACTGAGGACATTACGTTAATTGTGCTCAACTAGTGTAAGAAATAGAAGAAATCAGTATATCAAAACCTCTTTCATGTAAGAAGTAGCACTTTAGATTGTTCATGTTACCTTGACATAAAAGTATCTTTGGATGCGTCTATCCTCTCTCTTCTTGGAGAGCCAGCGTTCACATAAGAAGAGGAACACCTCTTCTGTATCAATGTCCAGCACCTCCACCTGATCCAAGTACCAGTCAGGACTCACCATACTGTTATCATGGCGAATTTTTATTTTGAAAATCTGACCGAGGTCTACTGCCTCTATAGTGAACTTATCCACCTGGGAGAAGAGAAACATTCAGGAAATAACATCAATGTTGTGTACTTCTTTTTTGCTCTGTAATCTGGAATATATATATCTACAGTGTAGGAGACAAGAATTAAAAAGGTCACAAAGTTCAAGCTTTCTTACAGATCCTCTTTCAAACTTGTTGCTGTTTGTCTCCGACTTGCTCAGTTTTCTCTCCCCGGTGTCCCCCAGGTCCCCGTAAATGGTGAGGAAGACGTTGGCATCAGTGCCGGCTCCATACACGTCACCTGTCATCACGGAAACTTTGTATGTGTGGGCTGTAGTGGGAGACAGTGATCACAGACAGACAGGCAGGGGATTTTGTGTGAGGCTGCTGCCAGGAAATAGATTGAAAATGAAGCAATTTTGCATCGTAGTTTGATGCTGCTGTCATAACAGAGACTTATTTGGGGGTATAAAGGACCAGAAGGGAAAACTGTCTCCAAACTAATGCTCAGAAGGGCAGATAAAAAGACAGGATGACAAATCGTTTTTGTGTTTCTAATAATGCAGCCAGCAGGTAACATACTCTCCAGAGCGTCTTCCACCTCGACTTCAGTCACTTTCAGGCTTCCATCTCTTGAAAGTTTCTCTGTGATGATGTCAGAGGGCACAAGCTCTCTCACCGTTTCTCCATCGTCCTCTGACTTGGCGAGCCACCGCTCACAGGGGAAGATCACGGTCTCTGAACCCTACAAAGAGACGATTAAATTCTGCAGTTTAATCTGTGTGTTTGTGTCTCGGAGGAGGATCAGCAAACAGAATATTTAGACTGGCTGAGCAGCAACCCAATATGTTGAATCACAAATGAAATCACAGTGCTGCTTGACAAGCTAAGAAGACAACATCACCACCTGCTGATTAAAAACAGAACTGTTCCGTTATTAGAAGAAGGGAATCAGAGGATGTGCTCCTGAGTGCTGAAATCAATCTTGTGAATGAGGCTTTCGGGTGTGGCAGCCCAAATACAGCCCTAATAGAGTGTCAGTCCTCTGCGCAGTGAAATGTAACTCTGGGCGTTTGATATACGGCTGCACAGTTTTAAAAACTTGAGTGCTGACATTTAATTTATTTTTTATATTTGCACTCAAAAAGCAAATATGGTTCTTTTTAGGTATTTAAATGTTTTAGATTCACAATTTACACACAAAACATGCAACAGTTTCATAAGATATGATCACCTGTACTAGGTTGAAGTACCCATAATATACACTCACTGGCTACTTTATTAGGTACACCTTATTGGACCCCTTTTTTGCCTCCAGAACTCCCTGAAATTTTCATGGCATAGAGTCAGGTGCTGGAAATGTTTCTCAGAGACTTTGGTCAATATAAACATGATAAAATCACACAGTTGCTGCAGATTTGTCAGCTGCACATCCGTGATGCCGAACCCCTAATCCCACCACATCCCAAAGGCCATTTGAGGACATTGGACTCATTGTAATGATCAAGAAAACAGAAGATGGGTAAACTGTGGTCATAAAGGGGCGGACATGGTCAGCAACAATATTCAGGCAGTCTGTGGTGTTGCTCTGTGGTGCTCAGTTGATACTAAGGAGCCCACATAAAATATCTCCAACACCTTTATACCACCACTAGTCTGAACTGTTGGCACAAGGTAGGATGGACCCATGCTTTCATATTTGTTTACCCAAATTCTGACCATATCATCTGAATGTTGTGGGAGAAATTGAGGGTCAGACAAGCCAACATTTTTCTAATGATCTATTGTCCAATAATGGTGAGCCTGTGTGAATTGTAACCTCAGTTTCCTGCTCATAGCTGACAGCAGTGGTTCCCAATTGTGCCTTTAAGGTATGCCTTCTGCATATCTTGGTTGCAACAAGTGGCTTTTTGTGTTACTGTTGCCTTCCTAACAGCTGGAAACAGTCTGGCAATTCTCCTCTGACTCCCAGCATCAACAAGACACTTTTGCCAAGTGAATTCACTGCATATTATCTCTTGTCCAGGCCGTCCTCTGTAAACACCAAAAAGGTTAGTGCAGGAAAGCCCCAGTGGATCAGCAGTTTCTGAAATATTCACACCAGTATATCTTGCACCAACAATCATGCTACCTTCAGAGTAATTTAAATCACCTTTCTTCCCTATTTTGATGCTCAGTTTGAATTTCAGCAGTTTACAGTCATGTCTGCATCACTAAATACATTTGGTTGCTGCCATCTGATTGGCTGATTAGATATTTACTTTAGCAAACCAGTTGAATAGACAAACCCAACAAAGTGGCCCTGAGTATATCAAGTAGTTCAAATTACCTTCACCTCTTTCTACAGTACAATGCTACTTGCACACTTTCTGTGCTGTCAGCCATCAGTAATATTAATTCACCAATATATTACTGCAATATTCACCAAAGTTTTCTAAACTGCTATTATCAGCTACTATCATATTTTTTACTTAAGCCAGTAAAACACTTTCCCCCTGTTCATGTATCCTCCGCAGACAGTACCTTTCCTTTCCTGAGGAGGCGTCTGATTTCCACTCTGTCCAGATGCCAGCCTGGGTTCACCCCACGGTTGTCATGGCCAATACGAATCTTCTCAATTACATCTCCGACATCTTCTAGCTGCACAGACAACAGAACACTTGGATAAACGGACAACTTTCACAAGTGCAGTTCATTGCTGTAAATGCAGAAACACGCTCATGACTTTGCTGTTCTAGTCCCCAAAGCAGGATGAATGTATTTATTGCTTCCTTTATTTAACTTACCTCAACAATAAACATGTCCTCAGCTCCTCTCTCAAAGTACATTCTCCTCTCCCTCTTGTTGACACACAGGGACTTCTGCTGGGTGCACACTGCATCTCGGCCATACAGGATGATGAAGACGTCTGCGTCTGTACCGGCTCCAAACACGTCACTTGTGAAGATTTTGATCTCATAAGGAACGACTATAAAATGGAATAATAACCAATTAAGTTACACTTTTAATACAGTTAGAATATGTTTCACTTTTCTGCAATTTACTGTTAATTTACATGGTGTGTAAAACTCTGTTTGAAGAGGATTAGGGAAAAGCTCCCTGACGATGGCTCCATCATCCTCTCCTCTGTCCAGCCAGCGGCCGCAGGGGAAGTGTAGTTTCTGTCCCAGAGATGGAGCATCAATCTCCACCCAGTCAAGAAACCAGCCTGCTGACCCTCCCCCTTAAACATTAACAGAAAAGACTGTGATCATTTATGTAGATGTAGTCGGAGTATTTCTGCATTATTCTCGGCACAGGCAGCCAGTCGGTCCTAATGTACCATTGTTGTCGTGTCCAATACGCAGCTTTTTCAGGGGTCCGAGGTCCACGGCCTCCACAGTGAACACATCAATCATACCTCGCTCAAACTTGTTCTTATGGGTCTTTGAAGCCTTCAGGTTAATAATTCCTGTGGATACAGAACAGACTAATTATCATTTTAAACACAGAAAGCAGGCAAAAAGCGCAGCAGTCACTTCCAAAGCTACCTGTGTCATCCTTGGTGCCATACAGGATCATAAAGACGTTAGCGTCTGTTCCTCCGTACTTCTTGTCACCAGTTTTTATCCTCACTGTGTATGTTGTTGACATGGCTGCAGGAAGAAGTTACCACATTTAATAATCTCTGTGTTATATTTCTCAGAAAAACTCAGAAAAAGCTCGATATCTGACATTGGTCAGATTTCTTCGTACGCAGTAACGTTGCTCTCACCTTTCTGTTCCAAACCAAGAGTAGCTTCAGAGTCATCTTCGTCATCATCATCTCCCTTCTTCATGAACGCCTCATCCACAGGAACAAGCTCTCTGGCAAGCTGTCTGTCATCCTCATCGACAGCCAGCCACCGTTTGCAAGGAAAGAAGTACCTAAAATATATATGCCAGGATACATAACTTTTCCATGTCAAAAAATTTGTTTAAAATATTTCCCACTTCACACCACACGGTGGTGCTCTAGCACACACGCAGAGGCTCTGTCTGCTATGTAGGATGGGGATTTTTTGTGAACCCTTTGTGTTTCTGAATTTGTGTCTAGTATGACTCAGCAAAGTGCAAATTTGCTTTCTCCATTAAGGGGTCCGTTAAACATATAACATCAATGTGCTGGTGACATACGTGGTGTCATCTTTGTTGTCCACAATCTCCACTCTGTCCAAAAACCAGCCGGCGCTGGCCTGGCTGTTGTCATGGCGGATCCTCAGCTTCTTCAGGGTCCCCAGGTCGACTGCAGAGATGTCGAAAACGTCCTCCTACGTCGCCCGCCAACAAGCCCGGTGACAAAGGGTCAAGAAATGCCACAGGTTAGCGGACCATGAGAACCTCATCACTTATTCATCTGATCTTTGTTTAACCCAGAAGGCTACCGAAGCCAAACATTTGTGTGATGAGAGACTTTGCCAGGAAAACAGTATCAATTACAGCAATCCTGACAATGCCAGTGGATTAAACACATCCATGACGGCATTATAAAAACATCAACATGAGATTTAGCATTTTAATAAGGCTGATTTTTAGGCCTTGGTCAGGTTGGGCTGCCTGTTTCCCCCATATACAAAGTCTCTGCAAAGCCAATGCAATATCCTTCATGGACAGACATGGTAGTGATATCCATATTCTCCTTTAACTCTTTGCAAAATGTCAATACATGAGTCAGTGCGAATCAGTTTTCTTTATATAACACTAAGTCACAATAACAGTCACCTCAAGGCTCTTTAAATTGTAAGGTAGAGATCCTATAACAGATGATCCCCTATGAGCAAGCACTTGGCAACAGTGGGAATGAAAAACTCCCTTTTAACAGGAGAAAAACTCCAGCTAAACCAGGCTTAGTGAGAGGGAGTCAATACCACGACTGGTTGGGGGTGAAGGGAGGAAGACAGGAAAAATCAAGAGTTAACAAATTGATTTCCTTCGGATTTTCAGCAAACCGGGTTTACCTGGCCTTTCTCAAATTTGTTTAGGTTGTTGGATTTCTTGAGGTGTCGCTCTCCCGTGTCGCCTGTCTCTCCGTAGATGTTGATGTACACATTGGCATCTGTCCCTGCCCCCCACATCGTCCCAGTGAACACATGTATCTCATAGGAGTTCACTGTCGGAGAAACACAGTAAACCATCAGCGACATTATGAAAATGCACGTGAGGGCATTTGCTTGATTTTCAGCCTCACGGGCTTCAGCAGCAGATATCAGTGAGTCAACATGACCACATTCATGCTCTACTTACTCTCCAAGTCTTCATTATCCTCAGTCAGCAGCTCAACCACAATCTCCCTGTCCTCCTCATCCCTGGCTAGCCAGCGGTTACAAGGAAAAATAAATGTCTCCACCACTTCCTGCAGCTCTTCAATTATCTCCACCTCCTCCTCCTCTTCCTTCTTCTTCTTTTTCTTATCTTTCTTCTTGTCCTTTTTGCTCGTCTCTTCTTTCTTCACCTCAACCTGCACCATAGCCATCGTCAGGCGCTTGATGTCCACAGTCTCCAGAAACCATCCGTCTCCAATACCCTTCCCGTTGTGGTAGATACGTATCTTATAGATCTTACCAACATCCTGAGCCTCAATCTGGGTTGCAGACATGAAACAAAAGTCAAACCAGCAACTCAAATCTCTGACAGACGTTGACATAGCCTAAGCAGTATTAATACAGACCTTAAAGATGTCAGTGGTGTCACGTTCAAAACTGTTGGAGCGACTTTTTAGAGGCAGAACTTCAGTTTTTCCTTCATATCCATAGATCTGACAGAAGACTTTGGCGTTAGTTCCACCTGCACGCACGTCACCTGTGACTACTGTCACTTCATAGTTGATCACTGTTATAGGCAAAAGGATTAAGCATTATGAGAAGCAGTGTATCTCAACCTATCACTTTAAAAATGATTAATTCTGGCTGTGCAAACTGTTTTTTGCTTTTGTGCCATTTACATTGTTCAATGTCCAACGTCTCGCTGGGATAGAGCTCCACCTCCACCTTTCCATCAGCTTCATCTTTACAGAGCCACCTGTGACTTGGGAACATGTACTGCTTTCCGTGAACCGGCACAGAGATCTGCACGCTGTCCAGAAACCACCCGGCCCGCAGTCCCTTGTTGGTGTGACCTATCAGAAGTCGGTTGATCTGCAAGCATCAGAAAGCACACAGGCAAAAAGAAACATAAATAAATGTCTTAATGTCTGTCTAATTACATGCAGTACAAGTCTTGCAAACTTACCTTCCCGATGTCAGAGGTTTCGAAGGTAAAGATATCCGTGCGACCTGTCTCAAAGTAGTTCCTGAGATCATTGTCGGAGACTGCTAATATCACCTTGCTAGTATCACCCTTCTCCCCATACAGCTTGACGAACACCTTGGAGTCCGAGCTGGCCCCGTTCACACTGCCTGTCTTGATTGCTATCTGGTAGCTGACATCTGAGGAGTGAAAACAATCGGTTTAAAAAACTGATGTATGCCTACAAAACTGGGCTTTTTAAAATGTTCTTGTGTACTCACTGAAGAGACGCAGGCCGTCTCCCGCTGGAACTAACTCACGGACAATCTGTCCATCATCCTCATTACGGTCCAACCACCTGAAGAAAAACACACATGTAAATGTACCTCAATGGCGTAAAAACAGAATCAGGGGAGCCTTCCTACACACTTAGAAAATCCCTGGAAATGGAAATATTAAAAAGATGACATAATATTTATGTATTCATAACTTCACTGGAAGAATGATGCTATAGGACTGACAGAACCTCTGAAGCCACTGAACAATAAGAAGAGGACAGAAGAGGAAACAGACAGAATATGATATTAACTAACTTACATTTTAACGGTTACATTTTCCAGATTAAAATCCCAATCATTAACTTAATAATTACAAAACATTTAAGTGGCCTAACATTATTCATGTAACAATTTCCACACTGAAAGTGGGAATCAATTTTCCCTGACTGCCAAATCAAACAGACAGGAGGAGGTAACACTGCACCTCGGCCTTGTGGTTTTGGCACCACTATTAGAAGCACAGAGCTGGCCACATTCATTTAGTCTCCATTTGTAATGGCACACTCGTCCATCAGCTGCCTAACTATTTACACGCAAGCCACTGGAGAGCTAGTGAAGGTAAGAGCGGTCAATTTACAACACTTAAGAGAGATTTCGAGCTGGTGGGAGGATTTTGTCTGACTGGATTCTGTCTGTGTTGGTTTCAGAAGAAAGTGGACACTACAAAATGTATGCAATTTCTGTATATAAAACATATATAAATATGTATGTAATATACAAAGTAAAAAATTTTACACTTCTTGTGAAAAGATTGACATCCATCCATCCTCTTAGTCAATTCAATGTCGCCCGGGGGGGGGGGGGCTGGAACCTATCCCAGCTGACTTTGTCAGAGAGGTAAGGTACACCCTGGATAGGTCGCTAGTCTGTCGCAGAGCTAACACATAGAGACAAACAACCATTCGCACTCACATTCACACCTATGGGCAATTTAGATTTACCAGTTCGCCTAACCCCACTAACTGCATGTCTTTGGACTGTGGGAGGAAGCCGGAGATCCACTGAAAAATCTGAAGATGCTAATTTAACTGGGACTGATCAGGATGAACACAATTAGAAATTAGTATATCTCAGGGTCTCAGGTTGAGTAGTTTGGAGGCAAAGCGAGGAGGCATAGTGGGTATACTGGACATAATGTTGAATACGGAGCAGCCAAGCAGAAGCGAAAGAGGAAAACTACAGAGGAGGTTCAGAGAAGTAGTGAAGAAGGACGTGGTTGATGTACCAGAGGAAGATGGGAGGGATAGGGTGAGTTGGAGGCAGATGGTCCTCTGTGGTGAGCCCTAAAGAGAACAGCCGAAAAGAGAAGATGACTGTATGCTAACTAAAGCTCCAGCCCAGGCACGTGCAGGGGGGGGGGGCTAGAGGGGCTTGAGCACCCGCCCCTTTCCTGATGGGTGCCCAAAGTGCCCTTTTGTTGAGGCAACTTTTTTTTTTTTAATTTTTTTTTTTTTTTAATGTGTGTGTGCGTGCGGAGTCCTGTCTGTGCCCCTCAACAATAATATTTAACTATTAATCACAGTTTTGCTAAATAAAAGGATCTGGCTTGCATCAGTCACATGATCACATTTAACCAATGATCGCCCTTGACGGCAGAACGCGCTGGTTACGAGCCGGGAACGAGCTCACAAAGAGCACGCGCATTTTTAGCGGTCCGGAGCTGTAGGAGAAACACAAGTTAACTCAGAGACACAGACTGATGCGACAAAACCAGTAAGTAGGTGTACAGCGCACACTGTAGTGTGTAGCACCCAGGAGTATTAGCTTATTACGTACACGTTGGTAAGCTGTCTTGTTGCAACTGACGAACTGAAACAAACGAGCGTGCTGTGTGTGCAACAGCGCGACAAACATTACCTGTCCTTTTATTAACTGCACAGTAGTGCTGGTCATAGCTGCTGGCTACCTGTGTAAGGCTGTCATGGGTCTGTAGCTCTGTCACCGTTTTAGGGAACATATTTAGTTTTAAAGTAAGTTTCCGGGCTTTTCCTGCCTTTCTGGAGGGATTATATTTCACTAAAAACGATCTAATATGCATGTCCACATAATAATTATTATAATTATAATATATTAAAAAACACACGCTGTATTTTAAAGAACATACATTAAGAAGCAGATTATATTAGATTTATATTTTAAATAAGACAAAATTTGGATTTTACAGCAGTAAAATGATTGTATCTCTACAGTTTAAAAATGTAATAAGCTTTGCCCTGCACAGAGTGGATAGTGAAACAAATGGAATCATCATAATGACATTATTTCATATTTATTACTTCCCCCTCCTCATTGCTTTATTATTGTAGCTCTAGTAATAAATAATAATGTAAGGATTCTGGATCAGCACCATGATGCCCATAGTATATACAGTATTCTGAAGAAGGTCTAAAATGTCACTGTGTGTGCGTGCATGTGTGTGTTTTATTTAGATGGATTTTTAAAAAAAATATTACTCATGATATAACATTGTCCAGACATGCCTGGTAAGGACATGAGGAGGAAACAGTAGGAGCTGTGTGAGGCTACTAAAGGCAGTGCTATAACATTTTTCTGTCATCATTTTATTATAGATTAAGTGCAAGAGTTGTTAGGTGTGGATAATTAGATTATAGTTTATTGCAATAGCAAGTTGTGCCTTGTTCTCACATAGCAAGTGGAGAGTGATATATGAAATGATGGGATGGAAGGAAGAAGAGAAGCAAAGAGTGATTCACAGGCAGAGCCTAAATTATTTCTCACAGTTTTTTGTTGCCTTATGGTTCCAAGCGCTGTCACCAATCTTTGCATTTTGTTATTATCTCATGACACTTGTTTAATCAGCTACCATCTCTCCTATGGACTTTTTAATGTCTACAGTCTCAGATCAACACAGCCCTGCCCTTCCCATATTAGATTCTTGATGAATGTGTGTTGTTGTTATTCAGCCTGGTTCAATGTGCCCCTTTTTAACTTTGAGCACCCGCCCCTTTAAACCTCTCTGCACGGCCCTGCTCCAGCCAACGATTGGTTAACTTAACCTAGCATAAAAACAGGAAACAGGAGAAAACTGCTAGGCCACTGTCCAAAGTTCAAACCTGAGGAGTTCTGTTAAGTGATTTTTAATAGTGTCAAGCATCCTGCTGCTTCTAGTGCTTTTAGTTTAAGATTTAGCATATAGTGACAATGAAATTAATAATCTGCAAAGAAACCATATCTGTGAGAGCATTTGAGTTATTTGGAAACTATTGTCTTGCCTGTAACAAGGAAATTCAATGGCCATACTCTCTGGCTGGCCTTCCTCCCTGACCATCACCTTATCGAGATACCAACCGCAGCCTCCACCACGGCCGTCATGACCCACACGGACCCTGCGCACCTGGCCCAAGGATACGGACTCAATGAGAAACTCATCGTGCTGAGGGAAGAGAAAGAGACAGCCATGTAAAGATGCTTGCTGTGCATTTCACACATATTTACTTAATTATTGGGTTCATTCTTGTTTATTAATACACTCACGTTTCCCTTTTCAAATTTGTTAACGTTGTTTTTGCTCATAATCATGAGTCGATCGCCCGTCTCACCTAGGTCACCAATAACATTGAGGAAGACTGTGGCATCGGTGCCACTGCCACTGACATTTCCTGTGCAGATGGTGACTCTGTACTTAATCACTGAAGAAACAAAGAGAGAGTAAAGGAGCTACATTCACTCAAGACATACTGTTTGTAATTGACTGTGAACATGGAGTCTGAACATCTGCAGAGTGTTCTGCAGAGCCCTCTTACAGGGCAGCGGCTCATCAATAAGTACTCCTGTCGCTGGAAGCTCTCTGACAATCTCATTGTCATCCTCGTTGATGTCCAGCCAACGGCCGCATTCAAAAGAATATTTCTCCATGGTTAGTGTCTTGAGCAAGGTGACCTGCAGAAAATCATAATTTGGTTCATAATATTCCTTTCAAACAGGACTGCAGCAATGACAGCATCTAAAATGCTCAAAAAAAGAAAGAAATAAAGGAATGCTTTGAAAACACATCAGATCTCAAAGGGAAACAAAAGTCTTGCTGGATATCTATACTAATATGGCCCTGTCCAGCTCTTCTAGAGTCCCTGTCTCTTCCTTGCTCTTGAGGCTGTGCTGGGAGACACAGCAAACCTTCTCCCAATGGCATGCATTGATGTGCCATCCTGGATGAGATGGACGCCTTGTGCAACCTCTGTAGGATCCAGGTATGACCTCATGCTAACAGCAGCGACACTGAACCTAGCCAATGCAAAATTAGTGAAAAAACAGCCAGAAAAGATGAGGAGGAAAAACGTCAACCTCTCCAACTGTTAATTTCATTAACACCAAAACAGCTGAAGCTGATGAGATCGGCTTCAAGGTACATTGTTTACTATTTCAATACATAATAGCATGCTAGCATTTGTCAGATAAAGTTGAAGATATAAAGTTAAAGCAATCTTTAAGGTTTCACTTAATAGTTGTCAAAGCACGGGAATCAACAAAGTCCAAAGGCAAACATTCCCAAACAATTGCTGAGATAGTTCACACCGGAGCAAAGTGTTGAACTGGTCCAAAGACTTCAACATCCACAGTACAAGTAACACTTGCTCAGTGCCAGATTCATTGCTCAAAGGTGACCCTGTACAACAGACTTAACAGCTTATACTGACAATTTTTTCACCTTTCCTAAATGCCAACCAGCGAATGGATGTCTCTTCTCGTGCCAGATCCGCAGTTTCAGCAGTCTCCCAATGTCTGGCATTTCAATCTACAATTATCCCCAAATGTAAAATAAGAATGGATAGTTTAGGAAAAAAGTTTCTTTGACAGACTTTATGATTATTGTGCTAAATGAACAATAGATGAAGCTGTTTTATTCACCCTATCAGGTGAACTCAAGACTTACTTACCATGAATTTATCAACCTGGCCTTGTTCAAAACTGTCCGAGTTGTTTTCTAGTTTCATTTCATCAGACTTGCCCTTCTCTCCATAGATCTGCAGAAATACCTGGGCATCTGTCCCTGCCCCTTTTACATCTGAGGTCCAAATCCACAGCGACCATGGGTACTCTAAATGGAAACAGAGTAAGTGTGACACTAAAGTACATATAGAAGATTTATGTTTTGATGTTTTATTCACTGAGTAAAGCAGAATGAAGACACCCACTCATCTGTTTTTTCTGCCTGAGAGAGACCATCTCATACAGCTCCCTCTCAATCAGCCCATCTCCCTCATCCTCATCCAGCCACATCCCACACGGAAACGTCTGCTCTATCCCCGTGAACGGACAGTATATAACCACCTGGATGAGAAATGGTTGATAAATGTATGACACTTTGAGAAGTGATCTGTTCATACTTAAGAAAAAGAAAAAAAATACCTTTTCACAGTACCATCCAGCACCAACTGCGCCATTGTCGTGCCCGATGGTGACCCTGCTGAGTGGGCTCATCAGTTCACAGATCTCCACATTGAAGATGTCGATGAGACCGCGCTCAAAAGCCCCGCCTTCAAGGAAGACTTTGCCGCTGTTTTTTATGCCCTTAGCTCCATGCATCACCATGTGGATCTTAGAGTTGGTCCCCGCACCCCTCACGTTTCCAGTCATCACTTGGACATTGTACACAATTCCTAAGGAGCGACAGGAAAATGCACGACACATTTTTGGTCCAAAGTGTTAACACTGAAATTAACATTGGCATCATCATCATCACACCAGTAGTCTCTTCTAGCTCCTGATGTCCTCTTGACTCATTTAGTAGCTAAATGCTCCACTACATTGACTAAGTACCCAGTGTCACACCTGAGAAAAGAATGTGCAGTACATTTTTAGAGCTATAAACTCTATTGAAAAAAGCAGGTGAACCTGGTATATTTTACTGTTCATATAGGTCCACCACTAACAGTGTTCCCTTTAAAAGTTTCTCAGGAGTTTATGGTTTGTTTGTTTTTTTCTTTATACCTACAGTGGCATCAAACAGTAAGGTGAGTCAACTCTAAGGGTTCAGGACATAATGAAAACAATCTGGTCTTTAGCAAGTCTTAAATTTAGGCCAGCACAATCAAATGATCAACCAAACATGGCATATTACACAGTGTCATTACTTATTTTTTAAGGGGAAAAAAGCCAAAATGCAGTCCACCCTCACTGCTTTGATTAGGATTAGGGGGGTGATGAAATGCACTTGATTTATTGATCATTAGCTATTGTGATCACGTCTATAAAAGCAGAGGTTTAGTCAGTGTGCTGGTCAGGAACAGTGAGGGGTGTGTTAACACAAAGCCAAGGAGGAAAGACATTAGCAACGATCTTAAAGAATCAGTTGTTGCTGTTTAGCTGGGTATTTATGAATAATTTAAAGCCCATCGTTCCACAGTGGGAAAGATTATTCACAAATAGAAAGACAGTTGCCAGGTGGAAATTACGGTAAAAATCCCCTCTTGGTAAGACTGCTGTGCTCAGAGAAACAGCAGAAACCCAAGAGCTACATCACAGACTCTGCAGACCTCAGTTAGCATGTTAAATATTTAAGACTAAACAAGTATTGTTTGTTTGAAGAGGCTGTCAGGAGAAAGTATTTTCTCTCTAAAAAGAACATGACAGCGTAGCTAAGGTTTACAAAGTAGCATCTGAACAAACCACAAAACCTCTGGTACAATGTTCTCTCGAGACCAAAGTGAAGCTGTTTGGCCTTAATGCACAGAGGCACGTTTGGCAACAACCAAACACAGCAGATCAGCGCAAATGCCTCCTACCAACTGCCAAACACGGTGGTGGAAGGTTCATGATTTGTTTTTGCAGCTACAGGACCTGAACACTTTGTACTCATGGACTTGATTGCAAACTCATCTATACACCAAAGAATCCTATAGTCTCATGTGAAGCCATCTGTCTAAGAGCTAAAGCCTGGCTGAAACTGTGTCATGCAATAAGGGAAAGATTCCAAGCAGAACAGCAAATGTAAAACAGAATAGCTAAAAAGAAAAAACAAACTGGTAAGACCTGGTAAGGACTAGATCACTTTTTATTATGTCCTGATATGTAAAAAATGGACATAGTGTCTACTGTCTTTTTCTGCTCTTTTCCACAGCATGTCTTTTATCCTGTTTTCCTTCTCTCACCCCAACTGGTCGCAGCAGATGGCCGCCCCTCTGTATCTGGTTCTGCTGAGGGTTGCTTCCTGTTAAAAGAGTTTTTCCTTCCCACTGTTGCCAAAGTGCTTTCTCATAGGGGGTCATATGATTGTTGGGTTTTTCTCTGTATGTATTATTGTAGGGTCTACCTTACGATATAAAGCGCCTTGAGGCGACTGTCGTTGTGATGTGGAACTGTGTAAATAAAATTGAATTGAATTGAATTTTTGCCATGACTGTTTACATGCTCTCCAATGTGAATTAATTTTCGTAGAATTTCAATATTTGACCTAAAAAACCTCTACATGGGAATAGAAATACTTGACGCAACATTGTCAGCATTTGCAGTTTTAACAGGGCTGTTAAAAATTCTTCAATTTTAAAGATGTTACGAATTTGAAAAACTGGCCTTTTAGCCAGCTGTCTCCACAGACTTTGAGCTTTATATATTGGTCCAAAAAGTCCATTTATATTTTAATATTATCCACAGTAATTTTGCATCAATTTGAACTATTTGCAATTTCAGTTACCCTCGAAAAATTGGTTCCAACAGTTTTTTTCTCACCCATTGGCTGCGTGGCTCCAACCAACACATCTCTCTGTATTTTGCCATCACCTTCATCCAAGGCAAACCAGTTATACACCGGGAATTCGTACAATTCTTTGTTACCCATGTCATCTATTACCACCTACACAGGAACATTACACACTATCATCAGCATTTTATATATATATCTGTACACATCTGAGCAGATTGCGTGTGCTGGTTTACATGCCTTATCCAGAAACCATCCAGCTGAAGAGCCTCTGTTGTTGTGACCTATAGTGATTTTCTTCAGCCTCCCGAGGTTTGGGGCCTCTATTGTAAACTTGTCCTCTGACCCACGTTCAAAGTTGTCTTTGTCACTGTCCAGTCTTCTCTCCCCTTTGATAATAAACACACAGTTTATAGCAAACACACACACACACAATAACCACGTATGTCATTGCAAATCTTACCAGTGATCATGGTTTAATGTACCAAATGATGAACACTTTCCGGCTTTAGCTTAATAACTATGAAGATTTCACACAGTTACTTCTGTTTGTGTAACTGTACATTTACAGTATTAACTTTCGAATTTTATTACTTTGTACGGCTTTACATTTTTTTGTCAACCATATTAAAAAAAACCTTTGTTCCCACCCTACCTGTGTCACCGTTCTCTCCAAAAATATTCAGGAAGACATCAGCATCGGTTCCACTTCCCTTCATATCAGCAGTAAACACGCTCACTATATATTTATTCACTGCAGAACATGGGACATAAAACAAGTCAAGCAATCTGAAGGGTATGTAAGTAGCACATAGCAGTCTCTTCGACACTCAGATGGCTTCCATTTTAAATATTCATAACAGTGCGTGTCTGTTCATTACAGTTATATTGCTGTGACCACTCCCTCACCGCACAGCACCCTTGTGTCTTTACGTGAGCCTCAGGTTCACAGTGCTTTGCTTGATTGGCTACAGTCGCTTAAATGCTAGATCACATTGCCACAGAGGACACATGGGCTGTACCTGAGGATTACACTCTAGTGGAGTTCAATGACAGCCTGAAACTCTATCTAAAACACTAAGCTATCGAGCACTGGTTGTGTGCAACTGGCCAGACACATGGCTCTAACACATAAAAAACATCAGACGTAGTTCTCATTTAGAAAAATAAATATTTAAAATGATTGTCCACTTTGAGTGGTAGAGACCAGAGTGCTTTCTAGAGGCATTACATTAGACATCTTATTACAAGAGTCAACCATTTCTAATCCCCGGGGTTTCTCTGACATGTGGAGAAGGTATTTAGGACTGTTATTTTGTTTTAACCTCTGTGAACATTTTGGTCTGCTTATTATTACAGGTTTGTCCCGGATTGACCTACATTTCGGGACGTCCATGGGGTTCATGCTGCCCAGCAGGTCCCTGACAAACAGGTTGTCGCCCTCCTCCCGACTCAGCCAGTTGTTGCAGGCAAAATAAAAGCGCAGATGGGGTCGGTTCATGTCAGTCACCACCACTCTATCCAAGAACCAGCTGGCACTCATCCCTGTGTTGTCGTGCTCGATCCTGAGGAAATCAGCAGATTCAGAGAGAGACACGAATGCAGCCTGGAGGTAATATCAGATGAGACCCTCACATCTCATTTGTTTTTTATTTTAAATGTCTGTTTGAATGTCTTCAGTGTTTAATACTATACAACAATGGTTGTTGTGTTTAAGTATTGCAGCTCACACTATCAGACACTGAAAATGAATACGATGGGGTAGAATAACAAAATGAATAATGCACTCCCATGTCAAATCTAGAAATCTACACTATGTAGATAAAAATACCAAGCCACCTACACATTACAACAACGGGAGCTGCTTATCCATAGAAACACATGGTGTGAAGCTCCTGGTGCACAATTTGTGTGCTGATGTTATTGCCACAGGAGGTTTAGAGCTCTGCTGTTATTGAACAACATTGGTAACTTTTAAGAACTAACCATCTCAGCATCTGGTCAGTGCTCTGTGTGTGGCTTATATAGTGAGTCACAAACAACAATGACAGGACAGGTTAAAAGTTTTACACTTTTACTGCTGTTTATGTTCGGTTTGCTAACTCAAGATTGGTGGAGCTGCTCAGACTTTCCAAGTAGGAAATCTGAGTTGAAGGGGTGTCTCAAATTGAAACTATAACTGGGAACTTGGAAATGTCGACGTCTGACTTAACCTGGAATGCGGCATTAGTTAGTGACTTCCTTTGTCTCGGGATGCTTGATTAGTTTCAGCTGTGTCTTATTACCCTTATGGTTCCCATCTCCCCGATTATCTCTTCTGTGTATTTAAAGCCTCAGTTTGCTTGTGTTCCTTGTTGTGTTGTCCTATTGCCTGCTGGTCTACATCCAGCATGTTTCCTGGACTTATTATCTTTGTAGTTTGGGCTTGTCTTTGTTTTGTTTTGTTTTGTTTTTATCTGTAGATCTTTATTGGCCGAATAAACAGCTTACTTGTGTTGATCTTTGCCTCCCTGTGTATTTGCATTTGGGTCCCCACCTCAGCCCACTTCAATATATATGACAGCACTTTCATTACAGTAAGGATTCACACTGCCCTGGCAATGTCTACAACAGGAGAAGCTTTATTAAGTTCTAGTTTGGCCAAATAATCCCCGCACATAATCTCCTTACCATTTTAGCTTTTTCCAGAGTTTTGAACTGTATTGCTTTTTTCTACAGCAAATGTTGAATTATTCACATGCAATTTGAGTAGCCCTTAGAATTTGAAGTTCTTCTTAAAATGTCTTAAGCTGATTTGCCTTGACATTGAAAAAAAAAAGCAAAAAGGTGGACCTTGACTGAGGATCGTCTCCATAACAGGTAAGAAAACTGTGTCTGGCATGCTAGAAAAAGAAACAAAGTTTTAAATCAGAATGCAACATTATTCTTTTAGCAAATCCTGACAATTCAGCATGTTTAAATCTTGGGGCCTGTTTTCAGAGGTCATGTCTTGTGGCTGCGATGTAACTCTGTGTCTTTCTCTCTAGAGGAGACAAACTTCACACAGCAGATGGGGCTTAACCTTCTGTCACTGGATGAAATCCTTTGATGGCCCGCCGCACAGCGAGAAATGTTCCTGTGGGATCCTCTTAGTAAGCTGCTGTTATGCTGTGTGAGGAATGCTCAACTATGAAGCAGAAATTGTGATGTTGTCAGTGACCTGTAGTTGTGCATTCTGGGTATTTAATCCAGACACAGTAATGGGGTATTTAAAGCGTGCATACATGTGAGTTTTTATACGAGTTATCACAGTCGACTATTAGCGATACACTACCTCAGTTTCTTTAGAGGCCCCACGTTGTGTGTTTTGATTCGGAAAACATCCGTCTTATTCTTCTCAAATGCAGTCCGGCTTCTGGAAAATGTCAAAATGTGAATAATATCAGTACAATGCTCTGAATGTCCCAGTCTAGAGACCCAGAGACACGTGACCTAAACTCTGGAACAGTAAATCGTATCCCCCTTAATGACGCAGATTTAGGGTACCCTGGTTGTCTCGTGGCAGTGGTATAATCTGAAACCTTCACCTCTCCTGCTTCCTCCTCAAGTACATTTACCCCCTCCCAGAGTCGAACCAGGCCCATGAGCACACCAGACCCCCCTCCGCCCAACACCGTGAATCAGACACCCTCTTTTCCATTAACAGAGAATACCTGCCTTTGTGTCTGACCCATATCTCCATCTGTTCTCATCTTCCTGCAACATTCAGTGGACAGACAATGCCAAGGCTCACAAAATAAGGTGCACAGTGTCATCATACTGCAACAAACTGCCAAGATTGAAATACTGTACAACACACATGAATACATGCCCTCATTCTCAATGTCAAATCACCTGCAAGAGAATGAAGGGGAGAAACTGATTATCCGGTGGAGGGGTGGAGAAAACTCACAGCAAACTTTGGAATTCATGCAATTTGAACGTGTTTTATAATTACACTGAATTTCCAAAGAGTTGCATTTTTAATCTGCCTCACTGATCAGTGGGGCAAATATTCTCGGAGACATAGCAACCCTCCCTTACCTGTATCATGCTGTTAAAGTTTCCAGTGACGATAACACAATACAGGCAGGACCTAACTTATATTGGAGTAAGGTGAAACTCCTTGCAATGCAGTTTGTTTAATATGTCACCAAAAGGGGCTCCTGAACATCTGTGTGTGTGTGCGTGTGTGTGCGTGTGTGTGTGCGTGTGTGTGCGTGTGTGTGTGTGTGTTTGGCTCATCGGCTGAGCAACACTACAGTCACACAACAGATAGACAGTAAATGCAAAGGATGTGGGCGCTGTCTGAAGTGGATGGGTGAGACCACCACAAGGTGTGGGTGACATGGTCCAGAGTGGCTGACAGTAACATGGTATATCTGTTACGCTTCACAGGTAACCCTATCTGTCAATCAATGTGTGCAGAGATAAAGGAAGCCTGCTGCTAAGATCCCCTGAGAGTCATTTGATCGTCCCCAGAAATGACATCGTGGTCTTCTTTCATTTATCTCTAAATGGAAATGAAGACCAGCCATGTCACATAGTTCCTCCTTACTCCAGATATCCTGTGTCCAACACTTAATGCACTGTATATAAGAGACATTCCCATTTACCAACAAACCTCTGCTCTGTTGTCTGACGTCAAAGAATTTACTGGTTAATATCTTTTTTAATGGCTGGTGTGCAAACTCATTTTATCTTGCATCACTGGTTCTTTGGACATCAGGTTTTGATGTTAAACAGGAATTCTCTCACATACAGTGTTATATTGACAATACAAGCCAACACAAGGACAGGATCATAAGCATCATTTTACAGTTTGATTAAATAAAAAATACCTCTTTTCTGTGCTGAAGGAATGGAGAAGAATAGAAAAGATTAAAAAGTCAACAACTGACATTGAAAAGGTGCTAAACTGGCATAACAAACTGAAGAAGGACGTATTAAACATCATATGATGGTGAAACAGAGTAAGTCACTTAGATCTGATTTAAACAAACGAAAAAAAGCATATTCATCAAACGAATTCAAGAACACCACCAAAAGCCCTTTTAAACTCACTTGCTTGCCAGGTGGACCTTGGGCGTGACGCCAAAGTCTCCAAAAAGGGTAACAAATACATTTGCGTCTGTCCCAGCTCCTTTAACATCACCAGTGACAGTAACTACCTCGTACACTGGAAGAGAGAGGAGAAGGGAGAAGAGAATAAAAGGGAAAATACAATCTGAAATACAGTCACAAATTACATTATATCTAATACAAAAACTTAATGAATAATCACTTGAACCAAAGGACGAACACAAAGTCACATCCTCAGTGTCCAATAATCTATAAACATTATGGAGCATTATGTTTCCTTCCATGCACAGTTGCCAGGGAATTCAATGAGGCGAAACTGCAACGAATCCATGTCTGGCATTATACACCAGCCAATCCTCTCTCACATTTCACCCGTCTGTAAAATCTACCTGAGGTGGTGACATTCACATCGTTTGCATGGAGGAGAAGAGAGGACGAATCAAACTAAGAAAAAAATCAAGGCGTGCAGAAAATAAATCCTAATGACTGCTGATCGCTCGACTTCTACTCAAGAAACACCCTTTCAATTTGTGGGTTATTATGAAGTACGGTACGGGATAAGTGGTGGCAGCATTTAAGTTCCCTCTGTTTTACATTCATATTCATTAGCAGATCAAAATAACTATTTTCCTAAAAGTAATACTTTGGTTTAATCCATGAAAAAAGTTTTAGTGTTTTGGAGCTTTAGAGTAACAATCTAAACAAAAATCTGCTGTTTTAGAGAAGATTTCAAAAGGATGTTCATTCTGTTACAGACTATAAAATGGTAACACTTTGGTCCAGCAACGTTAAAGTATCAAATGGATTTCTTCTGTTTTGATTTCATTTGAAAGTATTGGTCTTTGAGATGAAAGTCTATGACCCAGGGATGAAACAACCAGTATAAAGTATGCCATACATAGTGTGGGAATGAGAAGCACCACTAACCCTTTCTAATATGTGGGTAACATTTTGAAAAAGTTCCTAGCCTTATCATCTATTTTGTAAATGAGTGGCTCATTAAATGCAATAGATTTGGAGAAGTTTATATATAAGAGAGTCTTGTGAAAGTATACCCCCCATGATTTAATACCTCGTAGAACCACCATTAGCAGGTGAAGTCTTCATTTTCTATTTGGCTTTATCCATCTCCCTCCTAGCTGTGGAGGAATTTTATCACACTTTTCGTTACACAGTTGCTTCACTCCATTGATGTTTGTGGACATTTGTTTATGCTCAGCTTTCTTATGGTCCAGCATCTCAATCAGGTTGATGTCTGGACTTTAACTGAGCCATTGTAATACCTTAATTAGTTTCTTTTTCAGTCAGTCTGTTGGGCAAAGCTTTAGCTGTCCAATAGATGGCCTAATATTTGACTGTAGAATACTTTGATAAACAGAGGGGTTCACGGTTGACTCAAAGACTGCATGGTGCCAAGGTCCTACAGCTGCAGAACGAGCCCAAATGATCACCCCTCCACCACCATGCTTCACAGTTGGTTTGAGGTGTTTGTGCTTATATGCTGTGTTTGGTTTTTGCCATAAATGGTGCGATTAATTATGACCACTTTGGTCTCCAAAGGACATTGTTACAGAAGTTCTTTGGTTCGTTCAGATGCAACGCTGCAAACCTAAGCTGTGCTGCCGTGTTGGTTAGACGGAAGAATCTTTCTCCTGGCAAACCTTCCAAACAAGCCATACATGTTCAGTCTTTTTGTACTTGAGCTGTCATGAAATTTAACATTTACATTTAAACCGTGGCCTGCAGAGTCTGGAATGATAGCATTATGTTAGCACACAACACACCTACATGCTCCAGACCAGCAAAATGCAAAAATGTCTGCGTTTAGGTACTCAGACTACATACATATGAGATAGTAAAGTGACTGGTTCTTAACTCTTTTCTACATGTTTATATGACAGGCCTAATTCACCCAAGCGCTTTGTTATGCTTTGTATCTAACATTCACACTCTTACGGATGATTATTACGTTGCCCCTACTGAGGCATCCAGGGATAAAATGAGATGACCTGTCCTATCTCCTGAGCTACAGCTGGAGTTGGTGGATAAGGAGCTGTTTCGAGAATGTCCTGCTGCCTCTGCAGGGTACCTACTGTCCCTTTCCTTTGCACCAAAGCAGATAAAATAAATTCACAATGGTTAGTGCTTTCTAACTGGTTGGACTGATATCCCTGAAATTAAGTGGCTTTGTGTTATCGAGCGTTCCCTTCATTTTTAGTATATAGGACTACAAAACTAGACTAAAGTGAATCTGACATATATGCTGCAGGGTGTCCACTGTTCTAGGTAAATGTTAAAAAAGCCAGTCTGAGGTGTCATATGAAATAAAACTAAATACTGAGGATAAATGCATAAGAAGGCTAGACAGCAAGAGAATATCTTAAACCTTCTAGAAGATGGAGAGAGGAAATGTACAGATCTGATAAAGGAGCAATTTGATCAAAGTCAATCTGATACCTAATTAACAGTGAGGCGAGCTATTAAAACCAGCTTAAGGAGAAAGAGAGACACCTGATAAAATCAGATAGACAGTGGCCTGGTAAAACTGAACCATGATAATCTCCTTGGAGTGTCAGAAACCTGAGTGGGTCAGTTAGGTAACAAAGATGTTCTCACTGTAGAGGTGTATCACAGCTACAAATACTTAATGTTCCTTTTATAATCTGCAAGATAATCAAGAGCTTCAAGTAAATCATTAACTATATAAAGTCAGTTTTATGGAGGTGTTTATGTGGAAACACATAAATAATGTAATTGAATGTAATAGACAAATTATGATGTTGCAGTGTTGCATGTCTTGTAAGCTCTTGCAAACACGTTCAGAAATGTAAAAAAAACAAAAAAACAAAAACTGAAACAAAGCAAAACTTCTTTTGGGGCCAAAGTACTAAATCTGTGCCTTTCCCAAGGTTGTTTGAATATATATCCAGCAAGATATATATGGAAAAAAGTGCTTGTGCATGTGTATGTGTGTTTGTGTGTTTGTGTCTGGAGCACTGAAGCACAGTAAAAAAGCATTATATAAGAGCCAGTCCATTTACCATTTAGGAGTCTGCTCAATTCTTCATTCTGCAAATAGCTTCCACTGTAAAAAGTTCACAAGAAGGACAAGAAGGAATAAAGGGGCTTTTGAGCTTGACCTTTTGAACTATGACGCCATCTAATTAATTTCTCTCACTGGATGCACACAAAGAACATTGTGTTAGGATATTCATGACGACTGATAAACTGCGATAAATATTCTAGTAAGCATGTTTTATATTGGGTTATTTCATCAGCAGTACTCGTGAAAAGGCATTTTTAACCTAATCCTACTAACTGCATATCTTTGGACAGCAGAAGGAAGCTGGAGTACCCATGCAAACATTGGAAGAACATGCAAACTTCACACAGAAAAGCTCCAGCCAGATTATGAATTTGAACCCTGGACCACTTTACCCTGAGGCACGCTACCCGCCTGGTTTTTGTTTTTAGCTAAACTGACAGAAATTTCTTTATCATCATCTTGTCCCCAACTGGTAACAGCAGATGGCCACCCCTCCCTGAGCCTGGTTCTCCTGGAGGTTTCTTCCTGTTAAGACGGAGTTTTTCCTTTCCACTGTCACCAAACACTTGCTCATAGGCGGTAAACTGATTGTTGGGGTTTTCTCTGTATTATTGTAGCGTTTCTACCTTACAATATAAATCAGCTTGAGGCGACTATGCTATGATATTATGGTGTTGTTTTTTTTTTTTCAGAATAAACAATCAAAACAATTTAAGTAGGAAACAATTCCAACATTCTGTCAAAAAGTCAATGATTTGCATGTCAAAAACCTGACTTGCAAGCTTAAATTGAATTCCATATCTGAAATCAGTGTAAAAAAATAAGTCTAGTCTAATCAGAGGATGCTTAAAATATGTTACATGACAAGAAAATCTTATGCTATTAACATTATTAACAAAAAACACACAAAATAGTCCTGCAGAGTTGATTAACATCTTTCTGAGGGCCTCTGATCTGCTTTAAGAAAGCTCCTTTGACTCGCAGGCCTGATTCTGGCCCCGGCTGTGCTCCCAGCCCCTGGGACTGGGATGGCACCCAGCACCTGTCTGCCCCCGAGCCACTGTTTGGCGTCATTCATGTAGAACATAACTGAGCTTTCACCCAGAACAATAACAGAGGGATTCCCCGGAGCGCTCCAGCTCAGTGCTGACAGAACTGGAGTCAAGGTTTGAGCAGCTGATACACTCCAACATATTGACTCAGATTTTTTATTTTAAAAGCAACATGTGAGGTTTCTCCATCTGCTCTGCAATCAGATGCTCTTACCTTTCTTTTTGAAGTATTCATCTTCATATCCATCGGATGAGTCTGTGTGGTAGTTCAGCAGTTCATTCTGGTAGATTTCAGAGTAGTCCACCTGTTTGCTTTTGGACTTTTTCCCCTTCTTCTTTTTATCTTCATCGCTGTCTGCTGATCCCTTTTTTGCCTTCTTTTTCTTCTTTTTCTTTGTTTCCTCCTCCTCTTCCTGCTCCTCAATTAAAGGCTCCTCATCATCGTCATTGTGAGACTTTTTCTTTTTCTTGCCATCTTTGGACTTTTTATCTTTGGAACCCATCTCCGCGTCCCCCTCTGGGTTCTCTGCAGAAGATTTCTTGTGCTTTTTCTTCTTTTCCTCCTTCACTCCCTCGGTCACTTCTTCTTTGAGTTTCTGTGATTTCTTCTTTTTGGTATTGGTTGAGGGATCATTGTTGTTCTGCTCACCCTCATCATCTTTGCCTTCAATCACAGCCTCAGCATCCTCGTCCTCATCTGCTTTCTTTTTCTTCTTTTTCTCTCGTCCCTTTTCCCCCTCTTTTTTAGCTTTCACGTTCTCTGAAAGCTCCTGATTCTCAGTGCTCTCGGAGCTCTTGTGTTTCTTCTGACTCTTCCCCCTTTTAGTGGTGTCCCCTCGGGTCAAACCGTTGCTCCTCTCCTTTAACTTTGGCTCAGTTTCCTCCACTTCGTCATCAACCTCTTCAGTTTCTCCTGAAGCTGTGGATTTTTTCTGTTTGGACGGCATCTTTTATTCATTCACTTCCCTGACCCTTAGTTTCGTAAGAGCTGCGTAGAGTTTCTAATGGTGTAAGACAATTCATTTGACCCTTGGCTGCAGAGATGCTCTGGGATCGTGGGGTCGGAGCAGCCACTGAGGACACACAGATGGAGGGATGACTGCCTGGACGTCTCCTACCTGGCCACACAGCCTGCAGACACACACACTCACACACACACAAACACACCATGCATCCACACACATCACTCATGAAAAATTAGTGTCACTTCAGCACTCACATGACCCACAGGAGAAAGCCCTGTGAAAAAGGAGCCTTGCACAGACAACTTATCCTCTCTGCCACGGCACCCTGTATTATTCATGGTGTCAGGATCGCTTTACGGGCCGGGGGTGTCTCGCTTTTACCTGCAGTCACACTCATACAGACAGGACCACAGACACGCATGTACACATCCACACACACCCCTACACACAGACACACACACACACACACAACTTTACAATTACTTCTCTTTGTTTATTGTTGCATCGAGTGTGTCTAATTCACATTCACAGGGTAAAAGCAACTTCTAACTCTATGTAATACTCAGACAGCATTGATTTATTTTACTCAGTGCAACTTATAATGAACTCTAACAAAGGTAAGAGCAGCACGTTTTAGGAAATATGCTGCTTGTGAAAAGGCTATTGCTAGCCTGTCTCAGTCAGGAAAAAAAAGTACTGGCTCTGGCTGGTGTCTAGAAAAAATATATATATTTTTACAGTTTCTTCTTTATTTACAGACGAATCAAACACCATAAACAGCATATATAGTTATTTAAAAATAATCAAATCAGTTGAAAAATTAAAATCACTCTGATGTAATTTACAAATTGAAGTAAATGAGAACGTTTCTAGTTTTTGGACATTATTCATGATGCAAGTCAAAACCAAATAAATATATACATATTTAATACCCCAAATAATAAATAATAATACATTTCCTCACATCATTTGCCCAGAAAAAAATGCTATTTCTGTGGTGCTTTAATGATGGAGAACGGGAGGAACTATTGAATCTAAATTAAAAGTTAAATCATCTGCGGGTTAGCATCATTTTCCATATATCAGGGAGTTATACAATAAATTATAAATAGAAATAAGAGAAATAAACTTAAGAAATAAATAATAATGACACCCTGTTTCATGCATAAGTTCCTTTGCATTGCTGTTGTATCTCTGCCTCACTGGCATACACATCTGCATTTGACAATGTGCCAAATCATCCCATTAGCCTTATTGCTGCCATCTGACACCTGATGATGCAGGCATCAAGGAGAAGGGCAGAGTTTGGTCATATTGGTCTTTCAACATCAGATTACCCAAAGATTGGCTGACAGCAAAGAGTCAAACCTCATTGGATTGCTTCACTGCACTTTTCCTCCCCAGGAGTTATTGTTTGTCTCTCGCCTGCCAAAATTTCAAACTTTTTTCTAATTCACATTCAGCTCAGCTGCCCTAAAATTTCAGTTTCACAGGTGTGTAATAATTTTTTGAAAAATGCACCACTCAGCTACTTATACCTGTGAGTTGAGGACATGTATTTGTTTTAGCTAGCCTTTTTTCGCCTGTTCTTGAACAGAATCAACTTTTTAGGATAGCTGTGGAGTGCACGTTGAGGCTGTGGTTTTACTAGTTTATTGTTTTACACTTTTTTTAATGCAGAGTTTTGATGCATGTTTTTATTCATGTGTGGTCACATTTTCACTTCACACAGCAGTGCATTCATTCACACTCTCATCCCGACACAAAATAATGAACATACAAGTGAAAATTCAGACAAGTTTATTTACAAGCACAGTAGCAGTATAAAGAATGATCCAGAGTCATTTAAGAAGCACTGTGTTATATATTACCTCCATTCTTTACACAGACCAGATCCCCTCTATTTCCACTCTTGCTCATTAACTGTGACTGTAGAGCAATTTAGCTCGAAACTTTTTGGTGCTCCATAAACACACAAAGAGTCTGTATAAAGACATGAAGGAAACAGCATATTTTTTTTTAATCTTATTTGTAATGCATTTAAAGAAATAATGGACAACTGCACAGCTGAGCATGAACAGAGGAGTGACTGAAAAGTAAAGTTACAGTCTCACAAGTGAAATAATTTGTTGCATACAACAAAACAAATAGCAAAACCTTTTATGACTTTCCAGTGTACCACAGTAGCATAATACATTTTTGGGGGTCATAAGTGAAAATGATACCACATCATCTCAGCCACTTTAACATATCCATCAATCTTTCTCCAAGCAAGAGTCTTGTGTACATCTCCAAAAGCACTGTGAGCTTCAGTTGAGGCTTAAGTGTAAACATAGGCTATATCAGTGATCGCTGAAGCAGGCACACACAAAGCCAAGTATAGAGTAAAGTCATGCAGAGCACTACGTGGTTATGAGTGGAGTTTACAGGGAGGGACTCCAGTAGAATACAAGCCATGAACTGCACATGAATTGCTTTACCTTAGTGTGCTAGGGTTGTGCTTGGATGAAAAGAGGCAAACTAAAAACGTTGTCTGCACATCATACAGAGGGATTCCATACCTCATAAGGCAATAAGGCTTAAGACATGAAAGACAGCGATAGGCTGGGTTGCTTTAAAAACTGGAAAGCCAAAAGTTCTGTGGAGTTGGTGTATTGCAAAATGTTTTTCTAGCTTTCACCCTAATCTATGACACCCCACTCCTCCCCCAAAAAACGAAAAGAAAATCTTGCCTCTTTTCCACCAGAAATGATGAGAAATATTTGGAAATGGGAGAAAGAAGGCCGCGGAAAACAGGCCGTTTCAAGAGTGTTTTTAAAATATTCACCGAGGGAATATGGTGAATAGGAAATAGATTACAAAAGTAGACAACTGAATTTTACAGTTTGATTTTCTTTTCATATTTTTTAAAATATTAGCTGAATATTAAGATTCAGACTTTGTTTTTTTGTTGTTTTTTTACACAAACATTAAAAGCTGCCACACCCACAGAGTGTCTGAGAAAAAGAGAGAAGAAGACGGGCTTAAATATCTGTGTGACCAAGTAGAAAAACAACACCTCTGCACAGCCGAGCCACTAGAAAACTCCACAGAAACAACATCACTATGAAGACCACTTTGTTCACATTAAAAACAAGCATCCAATGGTCTGACAGTCGGAGATAAGATGCTGGCAGAAGAGAAATCTTCAACATGTAGATGAGAGTGTCCCAAGGCCAACTCTGTTTGAACTGGGGTCAAAATAGTTGCCTGAACTGAGATTGCCATGATGAAAACTGGCCTAAAGACAAATTAAAAGGTCAAATCTTGAGCAGTTGCATTAAAGCAAATTACTAATTAGAGTGAGGGATCATGCGCATGGCCCTGTGTGTACGTTGATGATCCCACGTGTATGCATGTGAATGAAGTTGAAAATTTCATGAGGCATTGCGTGAAAGCCCGGCCGTGGTTTGACGTTGTCATAGTAGTGGTGTGTGATGAAGATGCCAGAGGGGTTCATAGGAAACGCCCAGAAACCGTAGAGGTGGACCTCCTCGCACATCTCTAATGCGGCGGTGACTAGCATCAGGCCGCTGCTGAGCCGTTTGGCGCGGACGCCCTGCACCGCCCAGAAGCGCTGCACGTTAAGCAGATACTGCGGGTGGAAGAAGAACACACCTCTCTGGGAGTCAAAATCATCCAGCATATACTTAACTCTGAATGACACGTCGGTGTTGCGGGTGTTGTAGAACGCGGGTAGCACCACTGAGGAGTTTTCATAATTCTGAAGGACGTCATAAAACGGCCTCCGCCATTTCTCCAGCTTCTGAAATCTGCAGAGAAAGTAATTCATGTGATAAAAGGAAAAGATCATTGGCAGACGCTGAGCTAAAGAGGTGTTCTTTCTCAGACCCATATTTACAGTACCTCTCAGTTATAATGCTCGGGTTTATTGTCACCAGATCTGTTTTAGTCCCAACATCTGCTGAATATTTGTCATTAATGGGCGGTATGTTGCATCTGCAAAAAAGGAAAATAACATTTCACTAGAGTTTAATAATCATTTAGATTTGACTTGATATGTTTAAAAAGAGGCATGCTGAGGAGACAACCTGAAGAGCTGCACAAGTAATCATATAATAGTTTTAATAAGAAGTTGTTGGGGTATTTTTCTTTTTACAATAAATTACATAAATTGGTTAACCAACCAAAAATCCAGAAGAAAACACATTACACAAAAGGCATAAACTGATTTGCAGGTCATTAAGTGAAATCGGTATTGATCTCCTACCAGCCAGAATTGTGACTCCCACTATTCCCACTATCCTGATCTCAGTTTGTTATGTGCATAAAGCACACCTGTACACACAATCAGTTTCTATTATTCAAACCTGTCTGCCACCATGGGCAAGAACAGCGACTCGTCAGAGGAGGTCAGAGACAAGATCGCACCATGTACAAGTCAGGAATGGGCTACGAGACCATCAGCAAGAAGCTTAGTGAGAAGGTGACAACTGCTGGTGCAATTATTAAGAAAAGAAAAAAATATAAAATCATAAAGTGATGAGAACCTACTTCCCTCAGTCAGAAGACTGAAAATGGGTCATGGGTCTTTCCGCGTGACAATGACCCAAAACAAACCACTAGGGAAAAGGAGTGGGGAAAGAAGAAGCACATTAAGGCCATGGAGTGGCCCAGCCAGTCTCCAGAACTCAGTCCTAGAAAATATATGGAGGGAGCTGAAGCTGCGAGTTGCCAAACAGCAGTCAAGCAATCTAAATGATTTAGAGAGTTTCTATAAAGACGAGTGGACTAAAATCCCTCCTGAGATGTGTGAAAACTGACCAGCTACAAGAAACGTATCGAGATACTTATCTCACTCAATGACATGAAGCTCAACTTATAACTTTTATGTAATGTTTTTTTTCTTTATCTGTATCAAAATGAAACGACCATAAAAATTAGAAAGTGTTCATTTGTTTGTAAGTGAGCAAACTCACATATTCAGCAGGGGATCAATAATTATTTCCACCACTGTAACTGGAATAAACAGGAATTTTAACATTTGAATTTCTCTTGGTGAAGCGAGGTCTATGGGACTACACTGATCAGCAGCAACATTAAACCACTTCATATTCATTTTGCTAAAACAACTCTGATCCTTCAGGACATTAACAGTACCTCCAGGGATGTCCTTTGGTATCTGGATCTGCAACATTGGCAGCTTGTCATGCTGAATCCCCAGACACTCAATCAAATTGGGATTTAAGGTGTTTGAAGGCTCTGTCAATACCTCGGGCTTTTGGGAAGCCACTCTTCAACAATACTTGGTTGGAAGTTAAATGTCAAAGTTACAAAGTTCCATTTTTGTGAATGGTAGAACCAAGGATTTACTAGCAGAAACTTGGATTCTACAACGATCCAAGTAATACGCTTCAGTGGTTTTGATGTTGTGGCTGTTCAGTGTGTAGATTTCAGAATTTAGTGCTAGTTTATTATTTGATGCTTTGAGTTTAAAGGTTGGGGTAAAATTTCAAAGAATTTTGCATGAAAGAGGAAGTACTTTTATGACTTCTTGTCATGTAATTTTTCCCAAGTTAAAGTTTTAATATTTGTTCATTATTATTTTTTATTATTCATTCTCAATTAACCACCAATTGTTCAATGACAATTTGTATGTATTCCTCGAAATTAATATAAAGATCAAGAATATTAAATCAGAACAGAATTCCAGGTAACACTGTACAACTCTCGCATATCAAATACTAAAAGACTGCATCGTGAATACCTAAAAACAAAATCTGCTGAGTCAATTTCCTTTCCACATTTGCTGTTCTTGATGATACCACCATTTCCAATGACAGCACATTTCTTGAACTGTGACTTGGAATACGGCATATCCTGAAAGACATGAGGTGGTAATGTCAAATGAACACAACACAAGAACTTTTGAAATAAAACACATCAGATCAGCAGGTTTGGAAATGCCCACAGATACAGTAGAAAATAGCAAACACTCATAAAGAGGTGGTGAACTCACATCTGGTAACATCTTGAAGATCTCAGTAGTAATGGGAAGGATCCCACTGGTGTCCACCTCGTACCTCAGCTTGGTCCCTGCAGGAGTGTTCCTCTTGGTTGTGAACAGAAAGTTAGGAGCATTACAGCAGCGCGACAGAGACATCCTTCAGGACGACACCAAAGAAAAGTAAAACGTAGCTTTAGAAGATGCACGGTAAGATCAAAACCAAAATTATTTCAACCTTTACATCCTAAATGTTTTGGGTTGTTTATCAAAAGATGGTCATTACAAATTAACAATGTCTTTTTAAATAAAACGTTACTTCAGCTCTTGATATCTTCTTAAAACATACATTTGATTAATGAGTTTGCACATTTTTTAAAGAGCCCAGAACCCAAAGATGATAGTTTTATAGATCACTGGTCACATTGTTAGATACACTTGCTTGTTAATGCAAATGTCATCCAGCAATTCAATGCCTTTTGGCATGTAGAGCTGGTCAAGACAACCTACTAGGTGGTGAATTACTTTGAATGGTTGTTGCCATACAGGCTGGTATTTTTGAGTATTTCAGGAGCTAAGGATTTCCCACACAACTATCTCAAGGATAAAATACCTAGTGAGTGGCAGTTCTCTGGGCAAAAATGTCTTGGTGTTGCCAGA